GAAAGTGATCACCTCTTTTCTAAGTTTTTCTATATATTTTTTTAATTGTTGATAGACATCAATAGCTAAAGTGAGAATAAGAATTAACGTGATACCAATAAATCCTTACATTATAATGTAAACTATACATTAATCCAAACTAAAAGTTCAGCCGAATTGTTGCTTTAATCATACTTAATAATTTTATAAACAGAAGAGAGTGTTAAATTAAGAATAATCAGTATTTCTGTGATAAATATTTCAGTATTTTCAAAATTGTTCTCAAAAGGTTTATAAACATAAATATAACAAGAAATAATTTCTGATAAACAAGTTGTAATTATACTCTAAGCAGCCAGAAGTCCTTAAAATACGACTAAATTAATAATGAATAAAGTTTTTTTAATCAGCAAAATATAGTAAAATATTATTCAGATCCTTATTGACAATTATTTGTAATTCCTCCACTAAAACTGATAATGCCTTGGGGACTTTGTCTTTTTTAGTCGAATAAAAAAAAAAGAATGCTATCGAGAATAGATTGACATGTAATGTAATTAATGCTATTAATGAGATGGTTCCATTTAAAGTAGTATCAGTATTGTAATTGGCAATTTATAAAATAGCTGCAAAGGTTATTTCATAAAAGTTAGAAGTAAAAATTCTGATTAATCCAGAGCAATGAAATACTGATATTATTTTCTGGCCAATTTTAAAAAAAAAAATACATCTGCAGATATAATAGAGGTTAGATGGTTAACTTACAAAAATAATAGCTGGGCCAATTTTAGTGCTTAATACGGACAAGGAATTTTAGAAGAAATATGAGACATAAAAATAAGCAAATCTGATTAGAAATATAGTGACTAGCGTTTATAAGTTATTCAAAAGAAATGACAATTGATTTCATAGTATTCAAATTTCCATTTTGCTTGTATGATTGGAAATTTGAAATCAAATAAATCCTCAAAAGACACATCCGTTTATAAACCGTCTATTATGGGAGCAAGTGAACTAATAGTAAATATTTCAAAGTAGACAAACAAATTAACTGGGAATTGTAAATTGTGAAATTTTAACTACGATAATTGTTAAAGCATATTTAGTAGATTCCATAAAATTTCTAAATTGCCAGCCAAAAATGCTATACCACTTACAAAACATGATCATATACATAAAAATTCTAGTGAGTAGAGCTGTTTTAAGAAGAAGGGCTTTATGCTCATTTGACATTTTGTTTGGAGATGATAATCTTAATTTTTCTTCTTTAGAGAGTAAAGTATTGTCTTAAACATTTACAATATTCTCATGTCTTAGTGTAGCTTTTAACACAGGATTAAAAATGCTACTTTTAAAATAGACAAATATCTTATATGAAACATCTGTCAATATAGAAGTAATTGAGATCATGGATTGATTTCGATATCATATTCTTTATCCCTAGCATTTTCAATAACAATCATCTATAGAAACTTTCATTGCTAATATTATAAATGTTCAAACGTACTTTTTCACTAAAGTATAATCGAAATTCTTGATTATCTTAGTTTTTTTTTGAGAGCTTGGTAAGTTAAATTTAGGTTGAATACTATATTTACATACACTAATATTATTGTCCTATTAGCATTTCCAATTGCTTTCAACTTAACAAATATCACTACATCCATCATTATTCTAATTATTTCCATCATCACATTATTCTAGTAGTTTTACATGAAAACCATCCATTCTCACAAAATAAACATAATCTCACAAAATTCATTTCCTTCTATATACCAATCCCCACAAAATGAATTACTTATACCTTTAATTAATACCCACCCTTTCATATGACAATCTTCACATACAGGGCCATTACAAATATTACACCCTTATGGACATTACACTTGGCATTATTAACAACCATCGTAGGGTAAATAATTACCATCATCACATTTTTCTTCTTTACTAGATAGAATGCCATCCCCACAGAAATAGAGGCATTGATTGGAGAAACATTTATTTAGAGTATCATCCCAAATGCATTCTACATTTTAACAATCGGTATAGCAGGCTTCTTTTATTTAGTAATTCTGACAATTTGTTTCTTAGTACATCCTCCTCCTTCTTTAGTTGTGCAAATTGGAAAATATAAATTGCATTCCTAAGGTTTTGTAAGAGAAATTGGTGAAATTTTCACAAGTTTTTGTATAGCATTAGCCATCAATCCAAACGCAAGAATTGAGATTGATATCAAATGTACAACGATCTATGACATTAACATCTTCACAAACTTTTCGTAAAACACATTAATATCCATTAGTCAAACATCTCTTACTTTCGAATGTTGAAGCACAAGTTGAATCTATAGCATAATTATAATCATAGCACTCTCTTAATAAGTAGAGAGAAACCCTATACACTCAGAATGAGATTGGGCAAGAGGAGACCCATTCTCACAAATCCTCTCTTAACAAATACTCTTCTCCTCATTCCAGTAACAGTTTACTCCGCTTAAATTCATTTGCCCTTCACTTTTGCATCAATTATATGTATAGTTCATGCACAAGGATTGGCCAATTATGCAGCCATCCAAGATCTCATTTACAGTACATGAATTCTCAAAATACTAATGACAACTATATGCTGAATATAAGGGCAATTGTGCAGTTGAACAGGTTTTTATTGTACATATATTTTAACTTATCGTCCATTAACATTCTACATTATTTGAATCAATTTAAGATTATTCTTTGCTTGAATAACTACTGCAAATATTTAATTATTGGCATCCATCCAATTTGAATTAACTGTACAAGATCTTTATCTTGAGTTACATTTTTCATGTGTTGTATACGATGCTTAAACGTTTGAACATGTTAAATTGACACATTGATTGAATGAAACCTAAAAGAAGCATTTTTTTCCAAATTTATCTATATAACATTAAGTTTACTTTGCTGAAAGACAAGAAAATGGAAGTCTACACATTGAATTAAATCTAGTTGTATCATAGTTAATGAGTGTTATTTGAAGTATTTGCATAAGTGCAATCTTCTACGCATCGATTATTATCCCTATTCAATTAACAATTAATTAGCCAACCATTACATTTTGCTTGATTGAGTGAAGGTGGTACCATCACAAAAGCAAGGGATGCCTTTGGAATTATTTGTACTTGAACACATCGAGTCATTAGAGGTACTTGCTACAATCACCAATGCTTTAACAGGCCAAACTATCCCAAAAATATTACAGTCTGCAATTATTGTTAGCTTTGAGCAATCTAGACTTTAACATTCTGTGTTGTTTAGCGACATACAATAATCCTTCCAAAAATGACATGATGAATGTGTCCAGGTTGAGAGGTGATGAATTGTAGCTTGACAATAACTTATAGATGCATTAGAATACCAAATACAATCCAAACCATCAATCGTACTTACACAAGCATCTTAATATTTATAATCTGCACATCATTATTATTTTTTTACTATACAATTCTAGCTCTATGCTGCATTGATTGTCTGTTAGAAAGAATAATCGTTGCAATCCTAATGTGATTTAGGTGAGGTCATGTTACTTGCACTACAATATTTAGAATTAGAACATTTAGTACTGTAAAGTGAACACCAATAACATTTGGTTGCAATTGGCGAAATATAACCATCTGTTTTCACAATCTAATTAATTTTTAAAATGCAATGTTGGCTTGCCTGTTAGCAAATTTTATGACTTTTATAATTTGGCATTTTAACCCAATTTCTTATCGGTTTCCAATCCTATTCGCTCACTTAATACATTCTAATTATTCACACTTAGCTCCAAGCCAAATGCACTTTTCTTTATTATAATTTAATTCACAAAACAATTCCTCTAATATCTCTTCGCATAATTATGGTGTCGCTTAACACCCTCCATTAAATTTTCCGATGCAATTCCCATATTTTTAACAATCTCTATAAATTAAATTGAAAAATTTGAAATAAATTGAATATCTAGTATATGCTAAGCGATATCAACCATATTTTGTATTTATTTGATATTTACAACACTTAATATTTTAAGCAATTCATTCGATAGATTTTTTGCATAATTTAATTATTAGAAATATAAATAATTAAAAAATAAAAAATCATCAACCCGCAGACTTGAACTCGGAATTTTGCCGCCTTAAAGCAACGTTTTACCTCTAAACTACTTGATGATAATTTAAAAAAATAATAGAAAAAAGTTTAATATAAAATAGATAGATATTTTTATAATTTTTCTCATTCTTCATCATTTGGAAGGGTAGAAATAAATAATTAGAAAAAAATTTAGAGTTGATTTTTATCAAATTTCAAATAAAATATGAGGTATAATGCACTCAGAAACCTTTATATAAGAATTTTGTAAAGTTAAATTTTAAAGGTGAGGAAGCATCGATTTCAAATAATCTCTTCCACCATTTATTTGTTATACTTAAATAATTGTATTTAATAGATTTGTAATAATTCATTTGCACTGATTGTAATTTATATTAATTAAAGAGAATTTACTATTAATTTTTATTATAGTATCCCTAAACTCCTGCACAGAAGACAAAATAAATCATTAATTACAAGCTTCTTAGAAAAAGTTTATAAAATGTTAATCAAACCGTATCTTTATTCATTAAGAGTTAAATAAATTAAAAAATATAAACTTTTCATTAAAGATTTATAGAGTCATGAATATTTGTAGTTAGTACTAATTATTAATTTCATTTAGTTTTTATTTTTCAAGTTTTAATTTTTATAAAATCTCTTGGTATTTGATTCCTAAAAAAAGAAAAAAATGAATTAATGGAGCCATTAAAACAAAATTTAAGAAACTAAAACAAACGAGTCAATAAAACTTTTGGATTATCAAGAGTGATAAATAAATTTAATTAGAAAAGGGTTATGAATACAAATTCGCCTAATTTGTAGATCAACCCTTCCTCTTAAAAGTATGGTTGTTAATGGACATATGAAAATTATAAGATTTATGAAGTCTTCAGATTTGCTTATACAATGATATTAAGAAGGGATATTATGTCAAATAAAGATTAAAAAAATTAATTTTATGCTATAGGATCTAATTAAAAAATTTCCTAATTACAAAATAATTTAATATCTTATTTAAAATGCATCAAGAGGAGAATGAAAAGTTGTTTGAAGGGTCTGTTAAATTAAAGTTGATAGATGAATCAAATAAATAACATGGAGGATGCTAAGCAATAGCTTTTAATTCAACGGGCACATTATTGCTCACTGATGATTGGAAAAAAAAAAATATATGGAGCTTTAAAAATGGGAAAATGGAATTACTGAAAAGAATAGATGGAGCTGATACAACTCTGAATTGTGTAGTCTTTAGTAAAAAATAAAATTCATTCATTTACTCTGATGACGCTTCTCTTAGCATATGGAAGCAGTAAGATGATAATGATTGGATTTATTCTGATCCTTAAACTAAGCATAAGAATGCAATATTATGCATAACATTAAATGAGTAGGAAGACGTATTATTTGCTGGTGGCGCTGATTTTGTTATAACAGTATGGAAAGTCGATTTAATCCTGAATTAACTGACTTATGTCTAATCTTTGTAGAAACATACATTTTCAATTTTTGCTCTCAGTTTAAATTTTTCTGAAAATTAATTGGTGTCTTGTGGTTAAGAAATAATTATATGGTAAAAAAATAATGAATAATTATGGGAATTTGGTTATGTTGTTAATCAATCAACCTAGTAGGATGGATCTAGGATAAAATTTTTGGATGATAATTAATTTATATGGGCAGCAAATACATAGGAGAGTAATAAGATCTTTGTATTTGAACATCAAGATGGATACTTTTAAGAAAACGAGGAAAAGACTATTCAGCTAAATAATGATAACGCACCTTTCGATCTTTAATTGTTTCCAATTGTTTACAATAAATAGAAAAATGCAATATTTTTTAAGCACAAAAGAAACTTGTACATTTTGAGAAAATTGAAAAATGGTGATCTTAAGATTGTTGAAGTCTTTAGTTTAAATGCAATCTAAACTTAAGGAAATGTTACATAGAATGGAGATTACTTAGTGGAATGGAATGAGACTAAGTAAGGCTTTTCTACTTATGAGATAGTGTATCAATGAATCAAGATTAAAAATTATTCATCCATAAATAAAATTAAAATTTTATATTTCTGATATATTTAATTTATTATAAAATTGACATTTTGCATTTTATAATGAGAGTTAGGGTCTATGAAGCATAGTATTATAAATAAATGCACATTAGCTTCAATATAGTACATCCTAAAAAGTGGATACAATTTATAGTGTTAAATATAATTATAAATATAATAATTCTCAATCAAGATTAATGGAAAGAATGATATTCCTCAACACATAATATTTGGAAACAACATTTTTTGGAGAGCCTTTAATAAAAAAACATTTGATTAAAATCTAGCAGGAAAATTTGATTTAATCATAATAAATAAGTGAATCTTAATAAACTATTTAGGTAAATACAGAAACAGATTTAACTCATAATTTGAAAAATAATTTCTTAAACTGCAACCGTGATAACAAACCTCAAACTGAACCTGTAAAACTAGGTTTACGCCAACCTCAATTTATGTACATACCAAAAAAATAAAAGGATTTAAAATCTCCTCAATTTTATAGAAATTATCCTGTCTAAAATTCGGAAAATTAATTTTACAGAAGTGGATAATAAAATTATTAATGAAGTTTTAAAACATTGAGGTTTATATTAAAATAAATATTATAACTTCTATTTATTATTTAATCATTATAACAAATTCATTGAAAGTAGTTGCTATTGTATAGAATAATTTTCATTTATTTTCGATTTTATATTGTCTTACTTGGATTTCTAAAGATTTTTAATCCCAAGTAATCATATATTCACCTTCCTCTGATACTGTGCCATAAATTGACGCTGTTCTAAAATCGATTGACTAATCACAATAAAAATCGCCATTCTCATCAAGCTTAATAAGATTTACAAAATTTCCATTTTTACTTATCAAAATCTATTTTGATGTAACCCATTTTTAAGGAAATTATGAGTTACATTATTTGCTTGATTTAACATCTACTTTCTTAGTGTTATCAAATTATTTTGTTTTAAAATTGAACTAAAATATAAGTAGATGATCTTTGCAATAGGGCTAGAATGCAAATTAGTTTTCCTTTACAAAACATAATCTTAATCCCCAATACTCAACTGAAACATTTTAGATCTTAATCCATACTTTTCCTTTTTGCTAGCTTACAATTATCTTTTTATCCTCATAAGCACATGAGATTAATTGATTTTATTCTGAATTCAGACTCAGACCTTAAACACTTCCTGAGTGTCCATTCAAAGTAAAGTAACAATCCCAACTGATTCTTTTTTCCCAAAATTTAATAGAACAGTCAGCACTTCCAGAAATGAGGAAATCTTCATTTCTACTAAGTTCTAAGCATGAGATGGCACCACTATGACCTTCTAGTTTTTAATAAATCTACCATAAAGAGTTCCTTTGCTATTACCACACAATAATCGACTGATCATTGCTTCCGGAGATGAAGCAATCTGAAGATTTCATGAACAACAAACTATTTATCCATAATCTATGTTGATCAAGTACTTAGACCAATTTGAATTATCCAAATTTAAAGTCAAAAACCTTAATTGTTCCTGTTGCATAACCTGCTATCATTATTGAACAAGTTTTATTTAATGCTAAAGCGTATAATTCAGTGTCCTTTAATGAATTTTCTTTCATCAAGCTCATAGAAAAGGGACCATTTACTTCCTTTTTCTTTAATACATAATTTAATTCTTATATTTACATATTGAATTAACACTTTTCCAGCAATACATTAAAAGAAACAAAGCTTTCTTTGATTTAATGAAAAAGAGTCTTGCTTTGAACCTTAAATTTCACCATTTGATTGACTACTTAATTAATCTAAATTGGAGTTAGAACTTTTAATTTCTCAAAAGGAACCTAGTACTTTTCTCTTAAGTTTTCTATTAATCGATTAAATTGTTAAGTAATTTAAGCATAGATACGATCCAATTAAGTTATCAAAATATCGCAATCCTTTTGCACTTCAGCATAGAAATCACGAAAATGAGATATAGATTACACATCTTCAAAGTGATCAGTATGACATGATTTCCTATCAAAAATACATTTTGCGCATGAAAATCTCATTTCTGAACAAGCTTAGTTAAGACAATAAGTATCTACTATTTGAGAATGATTCAAATTTGGACATGGTATTAAAAATTAATTCATTATAATAAAGTGGAAAAATTCAATATAATTCTATTTTATTGTATTGACTAAAACATATATTTGAAGAGAATGTAAGTATTAAAAATGATTGCTTGACTACTCTTATGCTAATATAAAAGTGGATGAATAAGATCAATTTTTCATCTTTTATATTAATCAAATTATTTTTTTTCGTTATTATCTAATTTAAGAATAATGTTATATACTATTTTAATATTTAAATATGAGTCATTTATCACTCTTACCATATAAGGAAAGGTCTTAGTGATTTAAGTGAGTTCAAAACTTATCCTAATTTTTTTCAACCAACTTAGTAAGAACTATAATGTTCTACCTCTATAATTTATGTAATTAAATTAAAGTCAAAACGGTAAGGAAATTTCTTTTTTATTTGATATGATTTACTCTGTATTGCTGAAATAAGATCTGAAAGAATGACTTTCCTACTAAAGATAGAATGAAACTTTGATGGAAAAGGAAACATTATATCTTTCTATTTTAATTAAATAATAATTTTTTTCCTCAAAAATTAAATTTTTTAATAACATGGATTATTTTATTTTTAATTTAATTCGTTTCTTTCTTCTTAGATTTTTTGATATATCAAAACAATAGATCTTTGCCCGGTTCTGTTAAATGACACTTATTCCATACATGAAAAGTAGTTTATTTTAAAAAAAAAACTGTATGGAGTCAACATCTTGAAGGTGGTTAGTTCGTAGAAAGGTCTGTTTTCTAAAGTGTCCGAATTGGTATTAAAAAATGCGGTTTTCTTAGATAGCATATCTTTTTAATTAAATAATGAGGTATAAATAGAGTGGATTGTAAAATAACCTGATAAAATAAAAATATTTATGAGACTGTTTGTTGCTCTGCTTTTAGAGATTATTCACGGTTTTAGTGTTTTGAAATCAGACTAATGCTTAGATTGTTCCCTGCTTATAAGAAAAGAGGATTGCGAATATGCAAGTTGCTATTGGAGTGCTGTAAGTGAAAATTCTGAAGGAACATGTAGTGATGAAGATTTAAGTGAGAATCCTGGAAATTCTGAAGGAAATGTCACATTTTGTTAAAGTATATTGAACCCAGAACAAAATTGTAATAAAGCTAAGGGATGTGCTTACTATAATTCAGCTTGCACAATTTTCACAGGTTGTTCTGCTTATTTATTTCATTCAACCCTTGAATGTCAAAGAATATCGTCTGAATGTATTTCTGAAGGGGATGGATGCATAAATGTAAAATAATGCGTAGAGTATTTAACTTAAGATATTTGTGAAAATTCAGGAAGTTCGAGTGGTAAATATCAATTAATAAAATAGGTTCTGGTAGATGCAAGTGGAATTCTGAATTATAGAAATGCCGAGATTATAAGTGTAGTGAAGCTGACCTAGTTTTGACTACGGACTAGTAATGTTCCTAATTTGGAGTTGGTTGCATCACAAAAGGCTTAGGATGTATAGAAAGTCCTTTGAGGGAATGTAAAACATATGAAAGCTCAGGTCAAGATTGCAGAAAATTAATTGGATCAGATGGTTAGTGTGAATAACTAGAGGGGAGTTAATACTGTTAATTAAAAAAATGTGAAACAGCTCCGACGACGTATAATAAAAATGAAGAATGCGATAAATATTTGAAAGGATGCGTTAGCACAGGATAAGGTTGTGTGGTAACCTTATTGCCATGTAATACTTATAAAAATAATTGTACAAATTATATAGGTTCTGATGGAATATGTGAATATGAAGAGAATTAAGAAAACTGCAGGAGTCGTATTTGTGAAAATGGATAATTTAGTTCAGATGAGGATTGCAATCGATACAGGTCTGGTTGTATTACTAATGGAAAATCCTGTGCTAACAGCTTGTAAAGTTGCACTAGTTACAAGGGAAATAAAAATAGTTGTTTGGGATACAAAGGATAGGAGGGAATGTGCAAAGGAATAGATGATAATGAGTAGTAATGTTAAGTCTAGGATTGTATTAAGGATAGTAGTACTACATATGTTACTGATGAATAATGTTAGAGCATATAGAAGGTGTGTAAGACAAATGGGATGGGATGTGTGTACACTTTGAAATTATGTAAAGAATATGAAGCTAGTTCTGAGAAATGTTTCGGATTGATTGGTTCTGATGGAAGATGTTAAGGAGGTGTGGATGGAAAATGCAAAAGCAGAATTTGTTCAGATGCTCCTAGCACTTACAACACAGATTACGAATGTAAGAAGTATTAATCTGGTTGTGTAACTAATGGTAGTGGATGTATAGATTAGACGAGTTGCTAATTGACTCTTAAAGAGAACAGCTGTTCAGGCACTTCAGGATGTCAATGGAATTCATCTTGCATAGATTCAACAAAATGTTCTAATTTCTAAACTCAATTGATTTGCGAGAACAACTCAGCATTCAATTATTAATACAAAGATGGGATTACATCTTATAATTACACCAAATGCTCATGGAAGTCCAATTAGTGCATAGACTTGAAATGTTCTGATTTGACTTCTGATAAATATGATTCTGACTTTGCTTGTTAACAAGTGATGGAAAATTGTGTCTACAGTGGTTATGGATGTATTGACAAATCTAGTGATTGCTCTCTCTTTAAAGGGTCTTAGATTAGATGTGCATTGTATGCAAACAAGTGTTGGAATGATTCCAATGCAACAGAGACTACTCCTTGCAGAATTAGGTTATGTTCTGATAATACAATATTCACAACCGATGAAGAATGCGCCTTCTTTTAAAAGGGATGCAGAACCAATGGTTAGGGGTGTATTGAAGACACCAAATAGTGTTCAGACTATTAAGGAACTCAAGTTTCTTGTAACAAATTCACTGGATACATTTCTAATAGCACTGAGAGATAATAATGTTACAATGTGAGTGCGGCTACATCTACGACCACTTGCATTGAAAAAACCTGTAATTTGGCAGTTGGATTGACGAATAATACAGATTGTGGTAAATTCTTAAAAGGGTGTGTCTGGAATGGTTTGAGTTCTTGCGTCAAAGATACTTCAGATTGTACTGCCTTTTATGGTACTCAATAATAGTGCAATACATTTATTGGAAATAACTAACCATGTTATGGATTAAGTACTAACAGTAGTAATTCTCAATGCAAAGTTAAGTTATGTGTTGATAACACTCAACCTGGACTCACTGATCAATAATGTCTCAATTTCTTAGAAGGTTGCATCTCTAATGGAATTGGATGCACATCTAAAGATACTACTTGTGATAAATTCATTGGAACAGCTTAAACTTGTTCCAGTTTCTTAGGAAATGGTTTAAAATGTAACAGAAAGGATAATTGTTCCACTAGATAATGCTCCGATTATACTTAACCTAAGGAACATCAAGATTGTTATAACTATCATTCCAAATGTCGATTCGTAAACGCTAACTCTCCTTGCATTGACAAAACTCTCTGTTCTAATTATGTGGCTTAAGGAACGAATAATACTGAGAAAGCAGCCTATTGTAAGGCCGTTAAAGATGATTCCAATTTTATTTGCAATCATTAATCAGATGATAGCAATTGCAGCAATTACACCTGTGATTAAATGCCAACCTAAACTGAATGTGAATCTTATACGAAAACTAAAGGGTGTTATTTTATCAATAATTCCTGTGTTTCTACTAATGATTGCTCAAAAATACCTTTAGATAATACATCCTCGGATAAGCCTACTTCAAATCCGTCTAAATTAACATGGTGTAATTAATACAAAGACATAAATAATAAACAATGTTCATATCATCCTACCTTAAGTAATTCCAATTGTTCAAATTATATCTTATGTGAGCAGGTGGTTTCAGCCAAAAACTCTATGGATTGCAATAGATTACTGTATAAGGATCCAAATACTACAAATAAAGGTTGCTTATTTTATAATGATTAATGTTATTCAGTTTAAACTTAATGCACAGATTATTTAGCCATTGGTAATGATGATACAGAGAAGTAAGCATTTTGTTAAGCCATGAAATTCAATACATCCATAGGAACTGCCAATACAAAGGTGTTATAATGCGTATTCGAGGTTGGTAATTCTAATTGTTCGACTGCAACTTGTGAGAGTGTTACTGATGTCAGTAGCCAAACGGATTGTGAGAGGAAGGCTTTGAATTGTGCCTATTTCTAAAGTAAATGCTATACTAAGCAAAATGAGTGTTCATCATACAGCACAAAATCAGTAGCTTCAAACAAACCATAATTTTGTTCTATTATGAAGAATTCCTCAGGAGAAAATTGTGGATACATTGATGGTATGGATAATTGCATAAACTCTTCATCCGATTGCAAAGTGTATAGATGGGATAGTTACAACAGCAATCCTGCTCCATCTCCAAGTCCATCCACGAATGCAGACAAAAGACTGTATTGCTAATAAAGAAGATCCAATTAAGGTAGGTTGTGTGGATACGTATATGAGTAATCTCATTGCAGTTTAGAAATCAACTATTGCGAATTAATCGAATCTCCTACATCTTAAATAAGTTGTGATCTGTAGGCAAAAGGATGTACATTCATTCATTCAACTTCAATCTGTGTCACAACTTCTAGATTAGCAAGTTGCAAGGATATCAAATTTAATGCTGCAACCTTACCTTCTGAGAGTACTAAATTGAATTACTGTAAATCAGTGATGAGTTACTCTGGAGAATGCACTTGGATATCTGGTACTGGGTAATGTGATGACCTATCAACTGATTGTACATCATTTAGTTTGAGTTCAGTTCCAAATGAGAATGATAAATCAACATATTGTTTGAAAAGAGTTAGCCAGGCAGGAGGTTGCGCTTGGAGAAAAGGAGATGCAATAAGTACTTGCAGATCCTTTTCTTGTTTTGATATCACCAATGCTGTCAACTAAGCTACTTGTGACAAAGTCTTGAGTGGTTGCACTTATTATTAAAAATAATGTATCAAAACTCAATCAAAATGTGATTAGTATTATGCTTTTGGGGCAGATGACTATCAGAAATTCTATTATTGTTCAGGGTTGTCATAAACTACCGGCAATTCTTAGTGTACTTACATCAAAGGAAGTTAATTGTGTACTGTTAAAATAGATAGTTGTGCCTCCTATGCTGTGAGTGCTTTAAGTGATGCCAACAAATTAACTTGGTGTTATATATTAAGTGATCTCTCCTCCAAGAATTGTGCCTATTCTACTGGAGATAGTGCTTGCAAATCGATTACTTGCGAGTTGATTTTAAGTGCATCATCACAGAATGATTGCGACTTGTATTTATCCGGATGTTAATATTACAAAGGGTTTTGCTATACTAAACCATCTAGTTGTAGTTCATACACTATTCCATCTAGAATAACAGACAATGTTGTATTCTGTTCTAATTTTAAAAATACATCCAGTTAATTCTGTGGGTATGTGAGTGGGAGTACATGTGCAAACCCATATAGTTGTGATCAGATTAGTGCCGTTGGAGACACAACTGCCTTAAAGTAGGCTTATTGTTAGGCAAGAAAGTCTTCAGGTGGATATGTATGTACATACTCAAGTGGTGCATATTGTATATAAGTGAACACATCTTTGAGTTGTACATACATCACAGGGACCATAACAAGTTAAGATTAATGCTAATCTTTTTCATCAAATTGTTCTTATTAGGATTCAACGAAGACCTGTAATTTGACATCTGATCTGAATGCTTGCAACAAGTATGGACTTGGCTCTTCAACAGACGAGGATACCAAAATAAAATATTGTCGATCTATCTTATCAGGAACTTGCACTTATTAAGCTGGAGATTCGAAATGCTCAAATTAAGTAACATCATGCAACTAGATCTCTATTTCAGAGATTAATGATAAATTGTATTATTGTCTAGCTAGAAGTAGTTCAAATGGCAATTGCTCATTCGATGACTAAAATGAGAATTAATGCAGTCAAATAAAATGTAGTGATATAGATTATCCGAATTCATAGATGGATTGCAATAAGCGTATGTCTGGATGTATTTATTATCGAGGCACTTGTTATTCTATGCAAAACAATTGCACCTTATATGAAACCTATGGAGCTGATGATCTAGCTAAGAAAGAGTACTGTGAAGGTCTCAAGACTTCAGACAACCTTCTGTGTACTTTCATTTCAAGTTTAGAAGTATGTTCTAATGTTGAAAGCAGTTGCTCATCTTATGATGTCTCTGCCGTAGTAGATAAAGTCACTTGGTGTGAATTGCTAATTCAAAATGATGGGTAAGCATGCAGTAATCTCAATGATTCAAGCAAATGCAGTCTTAAGATCTATAATTGTGAATCAATTACAGCAACCTCTTAAAAGGATTGTGACTAAGTTCTATTAGATGGATGCATTTATTATAATTCAAAATGTTAGAAAAAGTAGAATAATTGCACAGATTATGTGATTCCTGCAAGTGTAACTAATAAATAACTGTATTGCAAGAACATGCTTGATGGTTCATAAAGGTATTGTACAAGTGGAACTACTAATTGTGCATCACCAACAACTGATTGCTCTGATATAACAGCAAATGGAGTTGATGATTCAGAAAAGAGAGTCTATTGCAGACAATACAAATCCTCAGCTGGCAAGATGTGTGGATATTCATCTGGATTGAAATGTGAGATTGAACGCAATTATTGCAGTGTCTTGACAAGTCCTACGAGTTAACAGGATTGTGATTTGGGATTAGACAATTGTGTTTATATTTAAAAGAGTGGGAAATGCGTTGAAAAGTATTTGATTAAGGATTGTACTGCCATGTTATTCGATTCTGGTCTATCCAATAAAGTAAGCTATTGTTAATCATACAACCCAAATGGGAATGCATGCACTTGGAATACAGCAGCGGATCATTGTGAATTGGATACAAAACAATGCTCTGATTTTGATGCAACTGGCTAATCAGACAAGAGAGTATTCTGTTAATCTAAGGATAGATACAATTGTTCATGGAGGAATGGTGACACTTCTTCATCCTGTAGAAAATTCAAATGTTAAGATGTTGATTTGGCACAAAGTTAATCTGATTGTGATTCTAGAATTTTTGGATGCAGTTTCTACATCAATTCTTGTTTCACATTAGAAAACAATTGTGTTAATTATTATGCTTTGGGCACTGATAATACGTTGAAGCAATCCTTCTGCAATGGTATTCCAACCAAATCCAATTAGAAATGCACCTACTTATCAGATGATTACAAGTGTAGAGTAAGAGATCAATGTTCAACTTACAATGTGTAAAGTCTAAGTGATAAGGCTAGTGCATGTTAAGGAATGTATAATTCCACTGGAATCCAATGTATCTATGTGAAAGGTACGACTTGCAATTAGGTTGATAAATGTGAAACTTATACTGAGTTATCCGATATGAGTGATTGCACCAAACTGCTAGATAGCAACAACAGATTCTGTCTTGAGGGCAATACAACATGTCTTACTTTCACTTGTGAGGATATCAGTGATCCCAAATCTCAAGTTGATTGCGATACCAAATTAAAAGGTCTTTGTTATTTCAATACCACTAACTCCAAATGTATAACTCTCTCAGATTGTTCCACTTATAAGAACAGTGATTGGCCATCAGATGCAGACCCCATCAAACATTGTGACACTCTTATTGATAAGAATGGACATCATTGTACTGCTGATAGTGCAACCAGCACAAAATGCAGGGAGAGATTGTGTAGTGATAAATTATTCTATTTGAATTCGGAATGTAAAGAGTGGAAATCATCTTGTAAATCAGATGGATAAAAATGCATTGAGTCCACCCAAGAATGCTCATAATATTCTGGAGACAAAGATTCATGTATCAAATATCTAGATTCTGATAATCTCAATTATTGTAAAGTTATTGCTGGCTCTGATTAAGATATTGGACCATGTTCAACAATGTCTTGCTATTAGAACACTACAGCAACATCCGATTCAGAATGTCAATCATTTTAAAATGGATGTGTGACCAAAGGAGTTGGATGTATAGCAAAGACTGCTAAATGTGATGAATATAGAGGAACCAGAGATCAATGTTCCAAGTTTCAAGGCTATGTATCTAAAACATCAACAGAGTTCTGTTCAGGAGATTCAACAAATACTAATTTGTCAAAATGTAGATCTAGAATATGTTCTGACAACATGACTGATGTTAGTGATATTCAATGCTCGGATTTTAAAGCTGGCTGTGTAACAAATGGTAAAGGCTGTATTGATATTACTGCTAGTTGTAGTAGTTATAAAGGCACCTAAGAGGAATGCAGTAAGTTCATGGGCAATAATAGGACTGTTTATTGTTGGAATGATTTAGAAGCTGCTAGTAGTAAAAGCTGCATTGAAAAACAATGTAATCATATTAAGGGTATTACAAATGAATAGTGTGAACTAGCATTTCCAAAAGTGTTGATTCAAGATATTTAGACTCTCCTTTGCGTTAGTAATGGTCAAAATTGCATCAAAAATCCTGCTTAATGTAGTGATTTTATAGGCAACAACATAACTTGTTAGACATTCACAGCGATAATCGATGGACCATGTAAAGGTCATTCAGATAATTCCATTGGATAATGCTAATCCAGATAATGTTATGAAGCACCAAAATCGTATAATACTGATGCATAGTGTTATGATTATCATCCTACTTGTTTAACTACAGGATAAGGATGCATGAAATTTTAATCATATGATAAGTTTGGAAAACCAACTCTAAATTGCAATAACATTGTTAACAATGATGCATGTACCTAAAAACTTGGTTGTGCTCTTGCCAGCTAATGTTTAGTTTTGGTTTCATCATGTTCAGCATTAACATCATAAGCAATTTGTCAAACAACAACCCTTTCAAATGGAACCCAATGCGTTTATGATTTAGCAATAAACAAATGCAGGGAAATCCAGTGCTCTGATTACGTTGGCATTAGTGATAATAATATCTGCCAGAATTATGGAAGCAATTGTACTACCAATGGAAATGGTTGTGAAATAATGAAATCATGCGTTCTATATAATGAGAAACTAACATGTTAATCAGCGTATTCCACAGATCCAATTAATAGATGCACATGGACTGATTAGGGGTGTAGATAGAGAGAATGCAAGGATTTCAAAGGAACCACTAACTCATCTTGTAAATCATTCTTACAAGGATGCATCACAAATGGCTAGAATTGCATAGGACCTAATTATTCATGTTCAGATCTCACCTAGAAAACCTGTTTAACAGATTATTCAGGCAACCCTTGCATATTCTATAATAAATAATGTCTCTCCTACTCAAAATGTGAAGACTTGAAATTCACAACTCATGATCAATGCTAATCATTCTCAGGGCTCTGCACTTCCAATAAGTAAAATTGCATTCCCTTAAATAAATGTGAAAATTATAGTAGCTAAGTATCATGCATCGTAGGAGTTGATGGGAAGTGTGGTTGGATTAACGATAAATGTAAGATCTTTTAAGGATGTTCTAATGTTTCAGGAACATCAAATCCTGTCTGCTAGCAATATTCTAACACTTGTATCAGTGATGGAGTGAAATGTGTGGAATAAAACCTCTGTTCCTTCTATAGTTAGTAATTTCTATGCGAGAATAACAAAGGTTTAGATGGAGATTGCATATGGGCTGATAATGCTTGTCGCTTGAAACAGTGTGAAGATTTGAAAACCAACATTGACACATTCAAAAAATGCTACGATCAATTAAGCCATGTTAAATGTTCTAGTAATGGTACCAAATGTATATCTCTAACTTCGTGCGAGTACTACGAGGAGAAGTCTTGCATATTGGGTTCAGACGGACCTTGCATTTACAAATTACCTATTGATCAGAGTTCTGGCTAAATCAGCTGTAGACTAAAGGAGTGCTAAGATGTTACAGGCAAAACCTTTGAAACCTGTAAATCGGCCTTCGATTCTGCATATAAGAAATGCACTTCTAATGGATCAATGTGTATTGATGTTAACTACTGTTCATCTTACACTACAAAAGTTGCATGTGCTTCAGGAGGCATAGATGGACAATGTGCATTTGTGCCTAGTGCTTCAAAGGCTAATGATGGTGTCTGCAAACTATTTACATAATGTTCAGACGCAGATAATGACAAAGATGTCTGTCTCTCAAACTCCAAATATTGTTAGTGGATTTCAACAAGTGTAAAGAAGCAATGTATTCCTCATACATGTCTCACTTACAATAAAAAAAATGAATGTAATCCTGTTCCCAGTTTTGATTAAACATCATATCTTCTTTGTGCTAAAGTCAAAGGCATATGTTAAGAAGTCTAACCTACTACATTGCCTATGGAAACCTGTTACATATAGAGTGCCCAAACCTTCCTTTGGAATATTACAACATCCCAATGTGTACAATGCAAACATTAAATTAACAATAATGTTACTAATAACTAAACGGGTTCCACCGATTCCTCACATATGCTCTTTACTTTAGCAATCGTATTCAGTTTGTACTTCTGACATTATTGTACGTATTTCAATATTGATATCAATACTTATTTTAAATCTACATTATTTTACATCCAAATAGTTTAAATTTAGTAGTATATTTATTATTATCATCTCCACTTGCAAATACAAATTTTATAATATAATAATTAAAACCTTCCCTAATTATTTAACCTTTTTATTAATTTCCCAAATTGAATATTTAATGTAGAATAATCACTAATAGCCTTCATTTTTATATACAATTTGAATGAAATGCTAGTGAGTTCACATAACAAACATGAGGATAATGTATTTTGGAATGTTGTGATAAATCATACCTTTCTGAACATACACTTAATACAAGTATAGGTTATTATTTATATTCCTTATTCTTATTTTACCAAGGGTTGAATTATAATATAATTAAATTAATATAAAAATGGCTTAGTAAAAGGGGAAGAATAGGAGCAACTACAGGATAAGGGAGGGGGATTGGATTTGTAGTAATTGCAACAATATGAATTTTGCGTTTCGAGATTCTTGCAATCGATGTTATGCTGCGAAGAATATAAAATATAATGAGAGCAATGGATTCAAATCTGCGCTTTTTTTAACGGAGAGCAATGGGGATATACCTCCTATTTCAGATCGATCAAATAAATCATCAGGAGAGAGGACTGAAATTGGGACTAATAACTTTTCATTTGATAAATTGCCTTCTATGAAACCAATTTTAAAACAGATAACCAAAGAGACATGTAAAATCAATTAAAATATGAAGAACCAAAATATGATTACTTTGAGTTTGAATGGCTATGCAAATAATGCCAATAGATTAATTAATACTATAAAATACACTGCGTTGAATGTGGGGCTTAGAGGCTGAGGAAATCTACGATTTGATCTATCACCTTACATTTTTGATTGAGTTATAATATTTAGCTAGTTTTGTTATAGTATTTTCGATTTAAAAGCGGAGGGGCAGACAAAGACATGTGGGCTTATTTATTAAATTTATATTAAAAATTAATTTATAATGAAAGAATTTAAATGTTTATGCACCACATAAAAAAAACAATAATTGATTAAAACATCTTAAAATGGTTTGAATAATGTAATTTGAAATGATAAATAATAAATGAATGAAAATAGGTGACACATGAGGGGGAATACTTCTAAATATTTGAAGCAGTCAAATAGAGTTTGGTTAGCATAAGAATAACACAAATTTGATGGGATAAAGTTTTTGAATTGACATCTACTTTTGGGAGTATAAATATGGACGTAATCTTGTGAATTATAAATTTGATTATATGAAACACCTAATTTTTACAAAATTAGTAAATATTATATATAAAATTCAGTTCCTTATCTTTTTTGAAAGGGTGCATATACATTTGTATTTGATATGGTGAGGCTCGAGTTTGCGAGTGCATGGATCAACTTTGTTGGAGGTGAAGGTTCCAGTACATTATATTATCAAGATTTAATTATGAAGAGGCAATCAATTGCTAGATTGTTGAGATGATTTAACATGCAATTCCTTAAATTAGTTTAAAATGTAAAGAAATTCAGTAAGTTTCGAATGTCAGACATCATGAAAAACCTATTATTGATTTTTTACTTTTTATTTATTTGTTCGGACATATTTTATTGGTTGAAAAATGAATATAATATTTTAATCTATACTGAAGTAAGCAGTGAAATGGACCAAGTTCTTTTATGGAAATAGCAATTACAAAAAATTGCACATTAAAAATAGTTAATTTTTGAACAAAAATAAATACATTAAAAATACAGCAATTACATAATTTTAAATTCTTAGTGATATTCTTGAACTATTTTATTTATGGAGTTGTAAAGAGGTTCATAAAAAAATGAATGTTTGGATTCAAAATTCATTGCGTATAAAATAAAATGAATAAAACTAAAGAATTTTCGTTTTAGAGATTTAGAACATTATAATTATATTTGTCAAGTTCTTAGCTAAGTGTATGTTAAAGGGTAAGGCTGATGCTGATACGGTTATTATGTGTAGAAGCATTGTGGCAGTGGTTGGGGAAGTGAGCCAAATTCTTATTTGATTTATCCTTGAGGTTTTAAATCAAGGATTGATTTAAATACATATTGGGATGAGAGTAGCAGGTTTTAAAGGGTTGATTAATACGCAAAATTGGGCTGATTCATGTTAGATGCAAGTTCTGAAGAGAATCTGAGGCATTGAGACTACAAAATTGAGTGTTATTGGTTCGCCAAAGCTATTTGATCAAGTAGCGACGGCTGTTTGTCAACATATATCTAAATGTAAACTAATTCAAAAATACCTAATGAATATCAGATTAGACGCTCAAAGGTTGGACTTCTAGAGTGAATGGATTGATAACACTAATTTTTAGTATGTTCTGAACCTTCAACTTCTTCTTTCGAGTTTCTTTTTTTCCTATACGACCGTCCTTCTCATAAGTCTTCTAAATTGTTCGTACTGTACAATACTTCAATTACAGTTTGTTAGCCACCTATTTAGATATTGATTGAAAAAGCAATAAATATATATGTAAGGATATAGAAGCCGAGGAATAAGAATAGTGATGCTGCATACCTCTTGTAGCGATAACTTTTAATTCAACAGCATATCAAGCACTAGTTTTCTTTGATTGCATTCGATTTTTTGGTATTATTTACTTTTCTTTGGTTGGTCTTGGTCATTGTTGGATTTGCACATACTTTATGAATCTTTTATAATTATTATTTTGGAAAAATATTTTCAAATCAGATCTGGTTTTTAATTTAAAAAAAGATCCATTAGTGATTATATTTGCATAATTATAATTAGTTGTTTTAATAATAATTTTTGTATAAATTATTCGTATTATTAAAATCTTAATTTCATTGAAACTATAAAAATGTAAGTGTACATTTTAAGATTCCAGCCTTATTAATTTATGATTGACTTCAAATCTATATACTTTGGAGTAAGTTCAAGAAACCAATTTAAGTATCATAATTAATAATTGTTGTATCAATTTTAATAAAAAATCACAATTGCACTTTCTTCCTTCTTTGAGCAGCACTTTCGTCCTCGTCCTGTTCCTCCTCCTCCTCCTGTCTTGGTTGAGAGATGGACTTCTTGGATTCCCTTTCTTCCATCCTTCTTCCCTTCCTACTGACTTCAGCCTTCATCCTTTCTTGATCTTTCGCCTTGAAAATGTCAAACAAAAACAATCGATAGACGCAATGGAACTCTTTGATGTCATCAAAATGCAGAGGTCTTCCCAATTCGAAATCGCCCTTCAAGGAGACTCCCTTGTTCAGTTGGAAGTAGAGAGTCAACACGAAATTTTGTGTTTGATCAACGTAAACCTCGAAATTCCTTTGACTGATTGATCGATGCATCATATCAAAATAACTATTGTAAGTGCCTTCTAAGCCACTTTTTTTGCGTTTCTACTCAAACTTCTCGAGATCGAAATCTTCGACCCAAAAATCGAAACCATTTGTGACTTGGATTTTGCAACGACCCTTGCTCTCCATAGGTTGAAAGTAGATGATGTACTCTTTTTAATTGTAGATGATGAGGGTATTGAGGAATGCCAATTTTCCAAGTGATCTACAAAATTCAACTCTTCTCTCTGTCATAAATTATTAAATTAGAGCGTATACGAGTGTGTTCTTAAAAATAGTTAAATATCATGCTTATTATTGTTTAATTAATAATAAATTTAATTAATGAGTGGAAACAGAAAACTAATAAATTGGTAATTAGATTAAACCCAAAACTACAATCCTTTGTTCAATTTGTGATCTCGCTTTCACTCCCAGTGAGCAGAAGACACTTATTTGCACAAATTGTATCATCAATCAGACTGACATTACGGTTGGAATAACCAAGGAGGGAATAGTAAATTACTGTCGATTCTGTCATCGTTACTTGAGACCCCCTTGGACCCTGTGCGAAAGGGAATCAAAAGAACTATTGAGCATTTGTTTGAAGAGATTGAGAGGGTAAATCATATTTGAATTCCTTTTTTTGTAGATTGAATAAAGTCAAAATCATCGATGCTGCCTTTGTGTATACTGAACCAAGTTCCAAGAGAATCAAGGTCAAATTAACAATATAGAAGGAAGTGCTCAACAATACCAATATGCAACAAGTATGGACTCCATAACTAATTAGACATTCATATGCGAATTCGTGGAACATTACCAACAATGCGAAGATTGTAAAAAGGAATTCACTCCTCACACTTGGGGAGCAGCAGTTCAAGTCCGTCAAAGAGTGGATCATAAAAAAACATTCTTTTATTTGGAACAATTACTATTGAAATACAATGCAAATGATAAAGTGTTGAAAATAGAACAAGTTGATGACGGATTAGACTTCTTCTATAAATCGAGATCTCATGCCAATAGATTGGTAGAATACTTATCAACAATTTTGCCAATCAGAGTGAAACAATCTAAATAATTGGTATCACATGATGCTAGCAGCAATCTCTTCAATTATAAGTATGTCTATGCAGTAGATTTGCCTAAAGTGTGTAAGGATGATCTAGTTATCCTCCCTTAGAAATTGTGCAAAGAATTGGGAGGAGTTGGTAGAGTACAATTATGCTATAAATTGACAACCATAGTTCACTTAATTGATCCCCTCTCAATGAAATGTTCAGATCTATCCATTGAGGCTTTTTCTTTATACGAAAATGAAATTGAAGTCTATAACCTAAAAACACACCAACATGAATTCACTGTTGTTGATGTCGAACGTATTCACACAAGAAATTTGAATGAAAGTTATATCTCAAGTTCATAAAATGCATTCCTACCAAAATTGACAAAAGTTACTATTATTAGGGAATCTAACAATTACGTACCTGTGACTGTGAAAAGTCATTTGGGAGACATCCTCAAAACTGGGCAGGTTGCTATTGGTTATGACTTAACTTAATTGACTATTGAATCTTTGGAGGATATTTCCAATTATCCTGAGTGCATATTGGTGAAGAGATAGATCAATAAGGAAGCCAGGAAGTAGAGAATTTTCAAGTTGAAGAGGCTGGAAGCTCAGAATGTTATGGAAGAGGAAGGAGGAGAAAGAAAGAGAAACTAATGTATTCAATTATTTCATTATCGTTTTAGAGAAGAAATAGAATGATCAAGATGAGCAATTCGAAGAATTCTTAGATGATGTCGAAAAGGATAAGGAGATGAGAAAGAACATCAATTTATATAGAGATGAAGATAAGATTAAAAAGTTAAGTAAGGAGGATTTGAAGAAGAAATAAAAGAAATAAGTTCAGATACAGAAAAAGGGTGATGATGATGAATGGTAAGATGATGATGAGGATGATGTTAAATTGGAAGATTTAATGAAAGATTTGAATTTGGAAGATAAACCAGAATTGGCAGAACCTGTAGATGAAGCTTAAGATGAAATCAATCAATTCATTACCAAATTGGAAAAAGTAACAATCGAAAAATGATATATCTATATAAATTCTTATTATTAATAAACATTCAGATAAAAATATTAATCAAGTTGTGTTAACTGGTTCTTTTTACTTCAATTTTGATAATTCATACTATCCGTATGACTCTTATTCTTCCTATTACTCATGGAATTCTCTACTTCTCTACCTTTATTTAGGCATACAAACCCATAAACAAAATAAACCAAAAGCCAACAAAACACTAATTACAAACACTATCAATATATAATTGATTCTCGAATCTTCTATCTCCACTTCAACTTTCATTTTTTCAGACTCATTATAAATGACACTGACATCATAAAAATATGTATAAGGGATACTGTAATTCTCATAATAAGCTTAAAATACAAGTAAACCATAGATTAATTCTCTATTTATCGATACTAATAATTAGATCTAAGAATACCTGTAAATTACAGTGATTCCTAATTCTCTTTCACTTCTTAAATAAAAGTATTGTAAAAGATAGAACTACCAGTATAATTTTACAGAAATTCGATATCAATCTCACAACCTAGTGCTCTCATTAAGAAGTCTTGATCTGACAAGTGCATTTTATAACTAGAAGTTATTCTCAATACTTTTACATTAAATTCTTTAAATTTAAACTCCCAGTCTTTTTTCTTCTCATTGTATGGATGTTTATTTCCAGAGAATCATTCAGTAGTTTGGTGATTTCAAATCTAGCATTCTTAAGATACCATTAATCATGGGAATATTAAATATGAGGCACCAAACTAAGAATATTAAATTTAAAAGGTTAAGTTTGATCAACAGCTTAAATCTTGAAAAGTGTATCTCTTGAAGATGAAGTTTTCTGCAGTTGAGTCTTTCCTAAACAATCTATTTTCTCGAATTGCAATTCTTATTCCAAAATAGCCTAGATATTGTATTGCTGACCTTCTTCAATGATTTCGATATAATGATTGTTGAAATTAATGTACTTTATTTTATTGTAAACATTCACAGTGATATAATAGTCACCAACACATTAGAGAGTAATTGAATATTGTTTTTCAATTTCTTGAAATTAATAGATTAATGTGTGCTTTGATTTATTGATTCTATACTCTTATTTCGGCAGTATCATTTTCGTACCTGTATCATAGTAGACCTAAACCATAACTTCAGATCTACTTGAGATTTAAATGATATATTCTTAATCGATTCTCTCAATTGAAAAAATAAATACTTGCTAATTATGATCGATAGTGTTTCTACCATTGAATTCCCTACCTAATTGTAAAGTGATTGGAAATTCTCGATTGCTTAAATTGATAGAATAGTATGAATCTGTATAAATTCGCAATATGCAGGTCTCATTTATAGGAATGATGTGATTAGAGTATGTTAAGTCCATTCTAGTTATCTGATTGATTTTAGAATGAAAAGTCAATTAGATAGATTTTGAGTAAATAAATAAATACAATTCTCCTGGTTGTAAATTGAATTCACATTTATTGAGACAATGGTCATAATAAGTTCTGCCATATTTAATAGGTAGAGGAATAGAATTGTATGATAGAATTAAAGATACTGCAGTTGGTCGTATTGGATGTAGGGTGAAAATATAAGTACAGGATTAGCAAATATCTTCTTGAATTTAAATTACACCTCCAAAAAGTTCATCAGAATTTGGCACCTCTATTTATTTACTGTTGTTTTCAACACTTATTGAGACCTTAATGTTCTTCATATCATAAATCAGGATTCGAAAGGGTTCCTCGTGATGATTTAAATAGTAGTATGATATGGTAGACTCTATGTGTGTATCTACAATTTATCCATTGTGAATGTAATTCAATTAGAACCCGCCAAGGTGTAATAAAATTTCGAAAATGCAATCCTGTGCCAACACTCCAATAACATAATGTCCTCTATTGTCTTCCTCAGATATTATCAGTGTATCTGAAGCAAACTTATAAGTGTATTAATCGACAGAAGGGTAGAGAAACTGTGTGTTATTTCTAGATTTCAAGACATAAACATCATAATCACAATCTTGGATTGCTGTTGTTGATATTTGGATTTCCTTTATATGCTCATCAATATCAAAGTAGTAATAGGACATCACATTCTAGCTGGCATATCCAATAATCATCTCGAGATTTCTAATTACTGTATATTTGGAGGATACCATAATATTGAAATAATCGTAATGGCCCAAAACGTAAGCAGTTATTAATAAGAGACATCCATTTTTTTTGCACATGACCATATCAGTTGTATTTATGAATAACATTTTATTGGATGGATTAGAACTGAATAATTCTTTGATTTCGTATTTTTGATTTGTTGGATATTGTTATCTTTAAGGATGTTTAAAATCAAATTCAACTACATTGCACGAAAGTTCAATTAAATTGAATTTAGTAAATGCTTAAATTTTGACAGGAGTACTGAAATTGAAATTCTTGGGAATGAAATAATAGAAATAGTAGTTCTGTTATTCAAGGGCTGGACTTGTCTATATGATATTATCCTTCAATTCAATTCCAGAATGCTCTTCTTGAATCAAAAGGGAATACTTATTGGTCCCCTTGCTGTACACTCCAATATATATCATAGAACCTGAACTAAAATTGTGAATGGGTATATAATTGGAGGTTGGCAAAATTTGGTATTCAAAATTTACTTGATCAGGACACTTATTGTTGAGACTTATGTAAATCTAAAGATTGTTCTAATCATTATACTCAGATAAATAGGTTCTAATGATGTACAATCGAGAGGGGTTGGAGAATGATTAGTAGTAGAAATAGAGTGTTTTATTATCATTAAGTAAGCCATAGAATGTGCTGGCTAAGAATAGTTCCAAAAAGGAGTTGTGATAATAGTATAAAATTTGATAGGATTCATCTTCTTATAGTGACGTTGATTTCACATACAGAAAATTAAACTATTGGGGATTTTCAATAATTAAAGTGTGTTAGTCACTTGTAAGGGTAAAGTTATATTTATTGGGAAATGAGTTCCCAAAGTTTCTACTATTACTAAGAATGTAACATATAAAGTTACCATATAAGGATTTCAGGTTTATGTAGAGAGTAGCCTCTTCAATAATTTCAAAGGTCATCTAATGATTCAAGTCTAATGTTTTGAATGGAGTTGCTAAATGTAATGGAATAGATTTAAAAGGTGAATTGGATCTTGAGTTGAAAATCTCCAAAATTGAAAATCTCAAGTTTGCTTATGCCAGTATATCCATTTTAAAAGAATGGCATACATCAGCTTTATATTATATAACTTCAAAATCTAAAGTTTTCATCAATTTTAATTCAGGATTTACACGACTGACATATATTTTGTTTTGAATTTACTATTCTCCGTAATAGATAGCTATACAAATTGAGACTATTTATTCAGGTAGGTTGAATGAGTAGAATTCATATTTTTCAACATTTAATTGTGCTAGAGCTTTATAGTTGATGAGGTATTAATCCAAATTGGTTCGAGTGAATTCAGACTTATATTTTATTTAAAGGGAAAATCTCATTGAATCCACATAGCTTTGGACGGCGACCATATAGTGAAAATTAAATGATCGGGATTCAAACGATAGTTTAGGTACATCTTATTAGATTTCGGATTAGTTGAAGAAGAATTTAATTTCATTTTCAGCTTGTATATGATCTGATGAAATTAATGAGGCTTATTCTTGAGTGAATGAACAATTATAATAATTGTCGGGATCAGCCTGTTGAAGATAGTCAAACTCATCATCAATTATTTTAAGCTCTTCCTCATCCTTAATACATTATTTGCTCAAAATGACGCCATGTCCTTTCGAATATTTAAAAATCAATTAAATCACTATTTCTACACCCTCTTAAATCATGTAATCTAATAAAAACAAAGCAATCTAATTCTTTGATAAGATACCTTGATAAACATTTCTAATGACAAGAGCCTCCCTTAAATTGTGATTTATTTTGACTTCAAACTAATATTATGAAAAATTAAAATCCGTGTTGATTGCAATCAAATATTCGTTAGTGTAAATCATTTTATGAAATGGAATGATAAACTGTTGATATTCTATATCAAATTAAAATTACCATTCAAAATTTGTGTAATTAATAGAGCATCTATCTCCTATGCATGGTTGCACATAGATTTTGATATTTTAACTTTTGTAATCGACATTAAACATCAATAAATGATCCTATAAATCTTCCACAATCAATTTATAGTAATTCACCTTATCCTTCTTTACTTTATCCTCTATTTTCTAATATAATGAGATCCTATGGATACTCTGATAAATTTTCAGTTCAATATAAAAGGATCCCAGACCCTTGAATAGAGTTGAAATCACATTTTAAGGATGGGTTTAATTATTCCAACAAAATATGATCAATTACTTATCAATATCATATTGAACGTCAAATTCTTACGCAGTGGGAATTGTTTCATTCATGTTGATGTACAAAGACATTATATTATAAGTAGTAATTTAAATTATTAAAAGAGAAACTCTTTCATATTCGATATTTGTTAAATTCAAACATAATGGTTTTCCTTCTTCCGAAGTTATAGATTTGATCATATTTTCATTACTTAAATATTCATGATGGTTTTGAGTCTAAACATTTATTTGGTAATGGCAATTCACTTTGCAATACACTAAAAAATAATAAGTCTTTGATTCAAATGCATTAAATTGGCATAAATTATCTAAACCAAAATTCTTGCAATCAGTTACTTGGGGTATCTATCTTTCATATTTAATAAATATGTACATAGATTCTAATTCTGTTTCACTGAAATATAATTGAGTGTTTGTACGCGTATCATTCAATTACGTTAAAAAGACAAAAATATCCTTTAGGATCATGTCTTATGAAATTTTGAGTCTAAATTATTGGACTGGGTAACTCAGCCATGAATTTGGCACTTCTCTAGTATTTTACCATTTGATATCCTTACCCATTGAATTGATATGATCTATCAATCTCCAACTCAAATGTTTCCCTTGATTTTCCTAAAATCAACAATATCAAAATAAAATACATTTTTTAATATGTTTTATAAGGCTGTTTCCGATAAAAAATGCACCCCCTCTCCTTTACGCAAGTGCTCTCAATATCATGTTCCTAACACTTACTTTTCCAAACAACCTCTAGAGAGATCATTCGAGCCCATCGAAAAACAAAAGACACTAGCTGATGAGCATAACGAAATCCAAAGATTACAATAGATTATCGAGCAATTAAAGGATGAAAATGCTTATTTACGTTCTACGTTACAACAATAACATCTATAATTTTAATATGAAACTCAGCAGTTGAATTAGTATATAGTCAATATGCAATCAGAGTAACAATCACTAAAATTGGCATTGATCGATCCAACTCTCCAAAACAATAAGATGATCTAATATATTGAGGACTTGTCAGCCTAGCATCGAAATCTCCAAGTTCTATATCAAGATGCCTGCCTACAATTGTAATAGGCAGAGATCTATTCCAATTAAATTATGCTACTTCAGAAAGAATTGAAAGGCAAGGAGGATGAAATTGAAATACTTAAAAATGAATTGTAAATTACTACCAAAACAAACACGGAATAATCAGAAAATCAAATAATTTATGACTTTCTAAAAAACATTAAAAAATAATATAATGATGATGAATGTAGATCAGTACATTTATATGATTGATAATTATAAATATATTAATTCTAATAAAAGAGAAGTAGAAATATAAAAAACAATTTTCAATTTTGCTTGCATCTACAAACTGGACAAGAATTGTTCATTCTTAACCATTTTGCAATACAATCCTCATGGAAACCATGGTTACAATTCATCATAGCGATCTACTCTCCATTTCTGAAATCATCTTAACAGATGTAACAAGTCTTCTCCTATTCACCTTAATGAGTCTATCTCTTCATATTTCTTATTTGATCTTCAGTGGCTCCAGCATTTTAATGTTAATTCTCATCATCATTAAAAAATATGATGTGATAAAACACTCTCTGCATTCTGAGTGGTTATTAATAGATTTAGTATTGTTTTGGGTGATTTTATTTGGTAACTATTTGTTCCAAGACACATCCACAATTCTAACAGAATTATTCTGAATTCAGTTATTCTCCTTCCAAACGATAATGTTATTCGCTCTAACATAAATGGCACCAATAGTTTTTGAAAGCAACTTGATATTAGCTCTAATTCATTTCTTTTTATTTTAATAAATCTATGAGATTGTCTTCATCTCTTTTTGAAATAACTTTTAGTAATTTCTAGAAATAGAACAATCTTTATAATTCTAGAAATTTTAAGAAATTAATATAATATTTTAAATTATAAATTTATTAATATTCTAATAATTATTATCCTTTTATAATATCAAGAATAATTAATTTTATGATATCATAAACCAATTATATGTGATATGCTAATCAAACTAGATTTCGAATGAGGCATAACTCTTTTATATAAATTGAATCTCATAATCTCTGGTATTTTCAGATCAATCAACCAAAGAATAAGAAGAAACAAGGTTTATATCAGTTGTTAAAAAAGGTTTCAAGTACAAAATCTGGATATTCTTTAATTAACTAAACCTTATATTCAGGTTAAATAATTAATATTAATTTTTGTAAGAAATAAATTCTATTAAATTTATTATAATATCGTATTATATAAAATTAGTGAACTCACTTAAGAATATCCTGTTTGTATCATGATCATTTAGAATGATCCTCAAATTTAGATAAACTCTTAGAGACTCAAAAATTATACTTGAAATTATTCAAATTTGGATGATCTTGAATTGATAATCATTTACACATACTATCAAAGAGATTTACTTGTATACCTTTGTCGAATACATCCAAAGTTAGAGATTTCAATATCAAGAAGTGTTAACAGTTAATATAATATTATATGATACATAATTAATATATATCAATCTCATAAGATGCTTGAAGCAGCTCTTAAAGATTTATTTATATACAAAGCATTAACAAATATTATATTAGCAGACAAACTACGACTACATTCTTATTAGCATTTATATATATATATATATATAGATTAATATCAAACATAAAATTTTTAATTGAAAATTTATTAGCATTTTTTGTACATTTTTTGGTTGTACTTTTAGCAATCTTCCAATTTATTCAATTATTCCTAGATTCCTAAACTATTGTAATCGCTCACGTAATTTGAATTGTAATTTAAGATTGTTGCCAATTGACTTGTGAGTTCTGTTACTTTCTATTACAATTCTTAGATTATTTCAAAGTATAATTGCTTTTCGTGCTTCCATTCCTTCAAATTGGAATTTTGAGAATTAACTCTGTGAAGCTATTCATTTTGTTTTTATAGGATTTGCATTTAACCCTACAATACTGCTATAGTTTAGGCATAATTCATTAATGATTTTTAATAATCATCTCGAATAATCTAGACTTGATGTTTGATTTCTAAATTCAATTTAGTGGAATAAGATTACTTCATCTCCTTCTCAAATTCAATGCAAGATTATCTCCACTTATACTCTTATTATTATATCAATTCATTTAATTTCTTATTTTCTTCATTTTTTAATTCAAATTATTTGTTCAGATCTGCAATAATTTGAATTTGATCTTGATTCTTTTTAGTTATGATATAGCTGTGCTCCTTCTATTATGATTGCAAATAGCATATTTCTTATTCCAACTTGATGATGATTTCATTCTGCTATTTGTACTATTGTTGCAATTGTATCTGCTCATTCAAACGCTGTTGCAGCATGAGATTCAAGTTCTCATTCTCCTTCAATACGATGTTAATTTTATCCGACCATGCTTTTTCAACTATTTGCAATCTCTCCAATTCGAAGCATTTCAACAAATACTTCTATGACAATTAGAGGAATTGTTCTTTGAATATCTTGTTGGCCTATTAGGATTCAATCAATTATTAATTAGTGATGGATTTCTATTCAATATTCAATTCTTCTCTCTCATTGAGTATTTGTTGCAATTCTAAGATTTGCTATGATTGTTAATTATTGACTTTTTTGTATTACAAAACAGTTTGTTAGAGTGATTGTGTTTCTCTTTATAATGATTATAATAATACAGTCTGATTGTTGGTTTCATAAGCAATCTTAGCTTTCTCCAACTCCTACATTAATTGCTCATTGATGAGTATGAGTTTTTGATTCTCATCTATCAGAATAGTAACCTTGTTTTATAAATTAATTAGAGTATGTTGTTCTTTAGAGTTTTTTTAATTGAAATCCGAGACTTACTAGACTTACTCATGCTGATTGATGGAGACGAACTTATTCTCCTTAGTTTCCGAGACTATCTTCTTGTTGACAGTGTCAATGATGGATTGATTGTGGGATAATTACCTTGTGATGGTGGGTCGATTGGATTGCATTGAGAAGGAGCGCTATTTGGAATTCTCACTGCTGACAGACACTAGATTCGTAATAGAATGAGTTACATTGTAATTCAGAGTTGCATTCTGAGTGCAATCTTTTGGACCCACTTGATTTGATGGCTGATGACTTGATTCCCGAATTTAGGTTGACTGATCTGATAACACCCTGTGATTGTAGAGAGTTGAATATGGATTGGGGGGATTGTTTGTAATCTGAGATTGAAATACTCTGCAACATGTTTCAAATTTAAATTAATATATAATAATAAAAATGTTAAGAACATTTAAGTTTTGCACAGAATTCACTACCACTCAATTCCTGAAACTGAGCAATCTCTAACTAAGCGTAATAATAATAAATGATAAGTTAAAAGTCATTGAATGACAAGATTGAGAATTTCGAGAATGTAGAAACCTCTTTTTCAGATGGCGTACTCAACGTACATCTGCCCAATGGGAAGTCCTTTGTGATTAACAGACAGACTCCCAACAAATAGTTGTGGTACTCATCTCCGATCAGCGGTCCTCAAAGATTCAATTACGTCAATGGGAAATGGGTCAATTCAAAATAGGAAGAAATAGAGAAGTAGTTATTGAATGAAATTAATTTATTAATATAATGATGATTACATAAAATTTGGATATCAAAGATTCAGGATTGTTTGTAGTACTTCACGAATGGGCTTCGACCTTGGTCTAATGCCTTGAACTAATTCGATGGCCTACTCGAGAGAGTAATGCAAATCCTGAACCAGGTAGAGTATGATAGTTTGAACACTCCTTTGAATCCCATCAGTACAATGAACATACACGCATTTCCCTTGATCCAACAGTTTCTTGAGGATCTAGTAAGCGTGAAGTCCATATTAGAGATAGGATCTCTTATTACAATCTTTTATGGGACATTGTAGATAGGTGATACCTAAGGATTGACTTTGAGATTTGAGTTCATCAAAATAATCTTCAGGCAGATCCTTATTAATAAGATCTTCAACGGTCTGTAAGTTGAGTATGGCATTTACACCCAAATCTTATAGAATGCGGATTTCACTATATATATTACAATATTAATTACTCTATATAAATAAATGAACCAACGTATAGGTTTCCAAAAATACGATTACAGTTAAGGTTGAAATCCACACTGGGGTCAGTGACATGAATGACATTATTGATAATAGGGTGAGAATGGATCATACGCACACCACTTCTTTCCCACTTTTCGTTGGATTGGTATTTATAAGCCAATTAATGAATAGATTTATTCGGGACCTGAAAAGTAGATGTGCATTCTCCCTCAATTCTATTGAGTGGGATCTTATGTCTCTTCCAGTTTAGGTGTAGAAATTAAGAGTTAAGTTGGAATCAGGATAATTCATGAGTTTGAGAGTAATGCGAAGATGACCCCAAATGTCCTGGACGTCTTGATGAGAATTGAACACTCTGGTGACTCCATCTTCCCATTCTATTATCTGTCTGCTGACTTACTTAACGACTACATAACGATAGTTCATAGGTAGACAACAGGAGTCCAGTGTGACAGTCCAAATATCATCTTAATTCCATTGCATTTAAATTCCATTCTACACATTCCATTATATCTTGTGACAATCTCCCACAATTAAAATCACCTCTCCATAATTGACATGCTTCTGAACAGAAATGCAACTCATTAAAATAATTAATAATCTTTCGAATCAATATATGTGTTTTTAATACTCAACTAAATTACCAATTTCCTGTACTGTCTAATTATTCCAAATTAATTCCTTCCCCATATCCTATGTATCCCAAATCAGTGAACGATCTATCAATCACCCTATGGTCAACATACTTCCCTTGTTTCTTTGGTAGAACTTCTACCTCAGGAGTCAAAGAAGTCGACCCCTCATAAGACCTCGTAGATGCCTACTGATACTTAGTATACATACTCTTCTATAATTAGTCAAGAGAGTGGGTTGAATCCCTTCGCAAATCTACCCCTATTCCAATTCTTCCTGCTCATGATTGACCTTCTTATGAGCAGTAAACTTCTTGTACTCCTCCTCACTCATCTTATGTCCAACTTTCTCATCAGTCGTCTATTTGAACCATCCCGAAGAAGGAATGTACTCTCTAAAATTCTAGAACTAAAACACTTGATCGATATAGCGTTTCAACACCTATTCACTACTTGCATTACAACATAACTCTCTCTTAAGTGTTTCCTGAGCAGTCGTGCGATACTCTGGCATCTGATGCAACATAGGCATCATAAACGAACAGAATGACAAGGCCTCCTTCGTTTTGAATCTGTATTTCTCAGTCAACACATTATATAGATTCCAGAAATGCAATTGCTGAATTCTCTTCATCACTCCACTCTAAGAAAAGTATCGCTTATTTTAATTCTATATTTTCTTACTTTAGCCTTTGCTCCCCTTGTCCCATATTCATAAGGAAACTTGCCTAACAATTCCTAGATCTGAGCCAAATGATCCTCATTCTTTGAGAAGTTTGGCCCTTGTCTGGGTTCAAACAGATAATCTCCTGTAAGCATTTCAAATATCATGCATGCAAAACTCCATATGTCTGCTGTTGGATTGTACTTAATTCCCAATAACACTTCTGGAGATCTGTATTGTCTGGTTTAAATCAATGTGGAAAAGTGATGATGAATCCAGCATGCATTTCCCAAATCTGCAATCTTCACTCTAAAATTGTCAGGCAATGGCTTCTGAGTCTTAAATGATATCCTTCCAAATTTAATTATTGTCATTACTTTTTTTGATTATCCTATTTAAAGAGATCCTTAATTGACTTAGGCATCTCTTCCTCCTCTTCTTAATTCACATGGTCTTACTTCTTCTTCTTCTTTCTCTGCAACTTCCTTCTCTGAGTCTTACTCATTTGAGTCTCTTCCTCCTCCTCATGCTCCTTCTCTGTTTCCTCTTCCTTCTTCTTCTCCTCTTTAACTATGCCCAACATCTTTCGATAGATGTGAATCCTATCTGAAAACAGTTGATTTGATGTCAATTGCCCATTCTCCACAATGTCTTTGATCTCCTCATCTGATAGACATAGTAGCACATTCTCCGGTTTCAAATCAGTGTGAATAACACCACAAATCCTATGTAAGTAATCCAAACCAATCAATATCTGCTTGGCCATCTTCCTCACGATGTCCATTGGACACTAACATGATATTCAATCATTGTACTCCTTTGTAGTTGTATCGTTTTATTATTTCCAAGAGATTCACACCCAAAATCTCGAAAACCATGCAAAAATGGTGTCCATAGGGTCCTTTGTAGACAAATGAATTTAACAATTGCACTGTGTGAGTATCATCCCGATTGAAATGAGTGCGTCCTTCCTTGTGAATCACTTAGATCAAACTTTTACTTCTGCATAATAATCTTTTAATGATTGGATCCAAACAGGATTTTGCACATTCTGCGCCACCTTCTATAGGATCTCAACCTAAGCAAAATTTGAACCATCACTTTTACTTCGTCGTATGCTGCTTCCAAGTAATGCGATGCACTCTTCTGAATTTTTAGCGCCACATATGTGTCATATTTGAAATCCTTAGCCAACCACACAGTCGAGAAATGCCCCCACCCTAATTTCTGAATGACAACATAACGATTCAGCAACACCTCGCCAATATGAACTGGGTGATATCCTTTCTTATAGTCATATTTCACAAACCTCCTATCTTATAATCTTCCATGCCTTCATCTTCGCTGTCGTGCTCTTAGTTTAGGTGATCCACTAACTCTCCTATCTACTCATTGCTCACTTTTTCAATTATCAATAACTCTTACCACCACTTGACATTTTTATAATATTTTAATATTAATGACACAAAAATCAAATGATTCACATTCCTCATTTTAAGATAATCAAGATCCCACTTTTGATATGCATAACAATATTCCAAAAATATCCTTGATAATTTAGATAAGTAACATAATATGGATACTATATTAGTGTAATCAGTTTCAATTGATTTGTCTACTACTTCATAATCATAAATGTATGTATAAAAAAGAAATAAGGAAACTATGGATTCGACTCAATGACCTTGTTTTAAATGATGATTAAAATAGATAGCATTCACTTTATTTAATCATCATAACGATGTTCAATGGATTATCATAAGTCAGAATATTATAGAATTACAATTTCATTTAACAATCTTAATTTAGATGATTAACAATTGTTGAACTCACAAATTATTATTTTGACTTAATTAATAGTGAATGATTGTCTCAACAAAGAGAAATTAAATTGAATATTCAACTTATTTTTACCTTGATTCTATCCCTTCAAGAATTGCATAGGTAGTTCTTAAATACGTTTAACAATAAATGAGTAAATATGGAAAATACCATAAAATAGGTATTTGGTGAACTTTTACAAGAGAAGAGAAATAATAAATAATTAGAACTTCTAATTTATTTCTATTGTATTTTTATTAATTTATTTATAATACTGTTTGATTATTCGATCAATAGATCATTATATCCCAATGTATAATTAAAACTTCAGGTTGCTTTTGTCAAGCTAATCCTCTGGGTACACTTCTAATTCGTAATCATGAGAACGCACTCCTCCGAAGTCTTCTGGGGTCAATTTGTACAACGACGACCATGCTTCAATTACTACTCCTGGAATAGGACCTGGACCGCAGTCGAATCTACAAAAACGATGAGCTGGCACTTGCACACTCACCATTCCTTCAGGTACATTTGAGGCATCACTCACGATTTCCCCCAAAACCATTGTGTACTTCATTTCTTACCAATTCTAAACGTTGGAGTATCCATAATACAAGCAGTAGGTCCTCATAGGGTGTAAACGATTGGGTATCTTGTCGTGGAGCTATTTTCCATAGTATTCTTCATATGTCTTTCCAATCTATGCAGTTTGGGGATCAATTTCATCTTTATGAATGATTGCTCTTTCTAGACCTACTAGAGTGAATGAAGGTAATTCAACAGTAGTTCTGGGGTTGGTTTTGTCTGATTGATCCATTTCAATGCTTCAATTTATTTATATGTTAAATGGGGATAGCAAATCTCCTTATAATCCACCCCATTCAATATATTCTGAACGCATTATTAATAAATTCTATATTGATAATGTTCAATAAAAACCATAAATAAAATTCAATTTCAAATCTGTTATATTCCAACGTGCAATTCAACTTCCATATTTCCGATATCATTCTATCCTTCCCGATACAACTCGAATTCGGTTTTGTAGCTTCTCTTGTATCCCCACTCATCCAACTTGATAAGATACAACTTCATCCATGTATCCCTTGCAGCCTCTGGGATGGCCCCTGGACCTCCCTTGAACTAAGCATAGGTGGCATCTTGGACCTCAAAAGCTTACAATCCTTCAGGAATCTGGTCGACTGCGGTGACCAATTCGCCAACCAATATTGATAACGTAAATATCGATTTATCTTAAACATCCTTAAAATCGTAATAAAGACAATAGGTTCTTCCTGGGATTGCACGATTAGGGATTGTTTCTGCGATCTTCTTATCAAAATATTCTTTAAATGTTTTGATATAGACATTTGTCTCAGGATTGGCCTCGCTTGCAAAATGCACTCTTCTGCTAATTCCAACGACTGTGAATTTAGGAATATCAACTATAACTTTAGGTGGAACGGGATCCATTTGATTAAAATTATATGGGAATGCGAAAAAATTAAATTTAATTATTCAATGGATTGCTTAGGTAGTCGTCCTTTGAATGATGAAAAGGCGTCATCTGATAGTTTGCGTATGTTATTGGATCAATTGGGAGAGGGTCAGTTTATTGAGACTATCATCATCTCCACATCTGTTTACAACTGTTGCTACTTTAAGTAGAGAAAGGAGTGGATATTGCAGAAGAGGAGAATCACAAAGAGTGTGAATAAGTGGGTCAAGAGTAATTTGGAATCTCGAAATTATATTCACTCATTCTTGGATTCACATCCCGTATCTATCATTTTGTTGAGACCTCTTCGAAATTTCAAGCCTTACATCACCTCAACCACACTCACACTGCACTCTTGAAAACTGACTTCTTTCCCCAACAGATATTCATGAAATTCGCGGAGGTCAAACAAGCATAATTAATCAATTTTAGCAACAATGGAAAGTACACTTTTTTTCTTGCAATTGCAATTGTACAAGTTACAAAGTCTGAAACAATTTTACAAATTCCAAAAAATCTAAACGATCAAGATATCAAAAATATTTAAGTTTGATCAATTTCAGTTTTATGGTCTGATACACTGGACTTCAACACACAAATATGTGGATTTATAAAAATTTATAAATAAATATGGATGGCATATGAAATTCATAGATATAAGCGATAACATGCCTGAACATCATTAGTGTATTTTAGATTTCAACTCCAATCAAGTATTTCACATCGAAGAACCAACCAAAGAAGACATCTTCCTCATCATTGATCCTCAAGGCAAGGTAATCAGAGCAGAAAGACCTGAATTTTACATTCCCAAAAACCTAGATTCAGTCTGTGAAGAATTTGACGATTTTATAGATACACACTCATATTGTTCTCAGAAATTCAAAGCAATCAAGTACAAGAAGAAATCACTGAAGGAATTACACATCCATTACTCATCATATCAGCAATAATAAACCATAAACATCAAAACCTGCATTAACAAAATATCAAATAATACAATGTCAGATATTCTAAACAAGTGAGACTATCAGTTATGTATAATATAAGGATTTTAAATAATTGTTTAAGAGTGCACGTTTGACTTAGATATTATCCAAATATCATCCATGTGAACCATTTAAATTTGAACTCATTAAGCAGAACTATTTAATTATGATTTTGATGAACATAGATTTAAAGAGGTCACAAAAACATACTTGTTGCCTTCCATATTCCCTGCAGCGTCAATTCAAAAATAGAAAATACTGGAAAGTATATTGCTTGCATTATTACAAGATCCTGATTTAAATCTATATTCGATAACTCATACGTACTCCTTCAGCAAAATAGATCTTATGGATTTCCTTAAAGATTTCACACCTCGTAGTTCCACTTTAAATTGAAGTTGTTCCTGATTAAAAGAAGAACCATTGAATGGTAGACATATTGTAAAAGTGCCATCAAAATAATGAGAATCCGCAATCAGGATAAAGTGGAGTGGACCAATCTAATGAGAGATTCATTCGTCTTTTGGGACATGTATGAATTGCACAACAAATCCGTTGCCATCAAGAATTTGGATGAGTAAAGGCTATTGAAACAATAATAAGAATAACATATCATTTAATTTAAGTAGATCAAAGCTTAGAATCTCTGTGGCAATGGTATGGATTTAATTAAGAAATATATATAGCATGGCATATACTATTAGATATAAATAAATGATAAGGTGATGGATTTTAATGAATCCATCAAAATTACAAGTAATACCTTACTCATTGTCTTGTATGACGATTTTGAGAAGCAAATATTCATTATTCTGAATAAATTGGAGTCCATTGAGGAAGAATTCTAGGAGCCCACCAATATCATTATCATCACCTAATTAGAAAAGCTCAACAATGTAATAAATGAATTCATTTCTTAAAGATTTCAAAATTACAAATTTAATTCTGTCATTTCAATCAGGTTTGGAATTAAAACACTGGGTTGTCATTTAAATCAGACATTGTTGAAAAATATTTCAATGTAAAGAAATATTATAAGCAATATTAAATGATAGTTTTATGCTGATAAGTATGGTTATCTGATGGCAATTCAATCAAATGATGAATTTATTGAAAGGCTATGGATAAAAAATCAGAAAGAAATCATAGTAGATTGGTTCATTCAGCAATTTGGGTACTATTATAATTAAATTTATCCTAGAATGACTCAAAAGAATAATGATTCGGAATGGAAATAAATTAAACAAGAATGTTGTTAATTTAATTAGAAATATGAAGAAATCGTGAGTAGTTATGAAATACCATAATCGATGGTAATAACAATAAAATCGATTAAATACTTACTATGGGACAGTCACAATTATAGTTTCTTGGAATAGTCAAATTGTCCAACTATTACTCAAAACCTAAACGTAAAGTGAATAACTTTGTTAAATATTTTCATCCCAAACATGATTAAATTAATAATTTGAATACCAAACACTTTAAAAATCAATAAAAATCATCATCCTGCTCAAAAGTATTATTGCTGGCAACAACAGCCTATTATTTATATACATCATATAAAAATTGCGAACTAGTGGCTTCATTAGGTTTCTTGTCCTCCCTCACTTTAATCAATCTAGGAAATCTCAACCCCACTCCTTTGTTATTTAATTACAAGATAGTGGAACAAGCACTATAGATAGGTGATATCTGAATGTCAGCACTCTTGATCTCCCACACAACCACAGGACTAAACCAAACATCCATATTCACTCCATCACATTTGTATTCTGATAATGGATGTGGAATCAAGTATTCTTGAAAGAATTAAAAGAACTTTTCTAAATTTTCATCGCTGAATCCAGTACCAATCTTACAAGTAGTCTCATATTGATCCATATCTTCATTGTAGCAAGCTAACAAATAACTTCCATAAAATCCCTTCCTTTTTCCTGTACCATAACAAGCACCAATAGGTACTAAATCGAATGTATCAGACAATCCATTATCTAAATAATCCTTTTTTAATTTCAACCAATTAAATGATCTCTTGGCTGGTTCATATTACGAATTGATCTCTAAAGTCTTGATCATCAAACCTTCGCATCCCATTTTGATTGAATTTAATAGAAATTCCTCAATTTCTTCAAAATTTTCTGAATCTCTTGAGGTTGCAAACTTCAACTTTCCTTCCTCCTCTTTGAATGTTTCTCTCAAAGTCTATCTTCTCTTCTCCAAAGTCTCTTTCAAATAACTCTGCTTATTCAAATACAGCAAATCAAATATGTATAAACAAACTTGAATTTCAATTTGATTCTAATCCACATTCTTTTTAGCTCTACTTGTTAGAGTTTGAAATGGTAAGATTCTATTGTTTGCCACATCATAGGCAACAATTTCAGAATCGATAATAAAACCATCCAAATGTTAATAATGAGTGTGAACATAGTTGACAATATCTGGGTATGTTTGTGTCATGTTTTCTAGATTCCTTGAAAAGATGCTCACTTGCCCATTTTCAAAATGAATCTGACCTCTCAACCCATCATATTTATATTCACATGTAAATTTCATATTTTCGAATCTCTAAAAGATCATCTATATAGATTTCATTGGTTTAGCCAACATTGGTTTGCATGGCACTCCTGGAATTATGTGACATAATTCAGGAACCTCCTTCAAACTTTGAATGCTGAATAGAGTGTCAATAATCTTCTTGTAATTCGGACACTCACACAATGCTTAATTTATTATGCTTTCGTAATCACCCTCCACATTTCCCTTATGATACAATTAGAATGCTCTAGCCAAAGCAGCTTGCATTGTCTTTTCAGCTGCTCCGATCTTGAGATTCTTCTCTATGAATCGTATGATGTACTTGGCCTCAATGGGTTTAGCCATCCTTAAGAGACCAGTCAGAATTCTCTCCTTCTCCAATGAACTTCCTGTGCCTTCTTATTTTTGCAATTGTTGGAGAGTGTTGAATACTTAGATCATTGTTAATTTAACTTCCTCCTTGACACTTTGAGAAACAAAAAATTTATTTAAGGATGTCTATGTTGATTTTGATTTTTCAATGGCCAAACCCAAATCTCCCAATGTGTTCATGAGTTCTCTCACTTATTTTTCCTTTTCATAGTTATATTTTATATACACTCTTCCCAGACACAGCACTGATAGATTTCACGATGATTCCTTGTCCAATCCCCAATTCCCATGACTCATAATCGGGTCCCAACTTCAAAATGCTAAACAAGTATGCCGGCACAAATTCTTCCCTATTTTCTTTCATGATTCTGATGAACAATTTAGCTACTAATTCTTTGATGGCATCCTTTGAATTTTAGCCTTTTATCTCTCCAACCTTTAATATTGAAAGTACACTCTACTTGTTCGTATAATTCAGCCATATCGATGAAAAGAACAGCACCCTTGATTTCCATATTATGCGATTTGGATTTTGAGGCACACACCTTTTATTCAGGCATCAGTTTCTCCTTCTTGAGGTTTTCCTCGATAAATTGTTGTTCCTTGATCTAATCATTTGAATCATCTCCTTTCTTACTTGATTTGAAGAATGAGGCAATTGTTTTTTGCATAAGGCGGGTAATAATTTAATTAATTTATAATCATTCATATGGCTTCCTATAAATCTATTTTAGACGGACTCCTTGAATCAGTCTCAAATATTGTGGTTGCTAGGATTCGCACCCTAAAATAAACTTACAATGATTCATCTTTGAATCGATTACCTGCTAGTAGCGATACAAAGTTATCATTGCTCGGAGCAAAGCAATTTCAAACCCTTGCCAATCAAGTTGAACAATTTATGTAGAGTATTTCTCTATCATATCAATAAAGAGTTACTGAATGAATTCAATCAAGAGTTGGAAGAACAATACAAGCATTCCATCAATAAGCAATATCAGAGACCGTTAACTGTAAATGGCATATCTAAATTAGGGCACAAATGGCTAAGAATGCCAACGAGAACAAATAAAAGAGGAATAAGAAAAGGGTCTAGTCATCATGTTCCATAATAAGCAATAGGATGATGGTGAAACTACTCTCAAAGTAATACGATACATTTAATACAGTTTAACCATCTCAAAGATTTCTTATACTATGATAGCAAAAAGGCCAAATAAGTGCAAAACCTATCGATTGAATTCAAATCACAAGGCATGACTGACAATAACATGGAACACTTTATGAAAAAATTCATCCAATTTTATAACATTGAACATTTGAAGCTAAACTTAGGATGGTACTTTTATCCCAATACCCTTAGCAACTCATTAACTGTCATTGGAGCTAGGCAATTAGCTGGTTGTTTCACCAATCTGAATCGCTTATCTTTCATGGATGTTTCAATTTACAATAATAAAATTACATGGGAAGGAATCGATGCTTTAATGCATGCTTTCAAACATCTATACAATTTAAAAGATTTAAATTTGGATGTATCTTGCAACCCAATTGGAAACAAAGGATTTGTTATTGTTTCCAAAGCCTTGCCTGAGATGAGGAGATTACGCAAACTCTGGTTGTCTGCTTATGACATTGGAGTTAATGACGAATCCTTTAAAATATTTATCAATGAATTCACTAAATTGCCTCCATTGCTAATAGCTAAATTTGATTTTAAAGTGTAAGAATGCAATTTTATTTTAGCAACCCCTTCAATAAGAAACTAATTCAAGAATTGCAAAAGATTATCCACGAGAAAAAGATTAATAATTACGAGATATTAGTATGATTAGATATAAATTATCATCATCTTTATAAGCAATAAATAATATGTTAGGATCTCATTATTTTAGCTTATCTACTCTATTTTTAAGTTCCTTTATTTCGTCATCATTTAAATATCAGCTATATATAATATACTTCAGTGATGTTAGATGTTTCTATTTCTTCTTTAAGAGGCTTTTTAATTTGATTCTAATCTTTAATCATATATACACAAGTTATATATAATAGTCCATAATCGAATTGTGTTCTAATTGTAATTGAATCGTATTAGAGGATTTAACAATTACTGAATTGAGATTATATGTAAAAGAGCTGGACACATACAAATTGAATTGGCTTATTTGAGTTAAACATTTAATTTTGATAGATTTTATAATTACTACCAAAGGTAGTAGTTTTTAGAAGTGTCTTCTCGTACTTCTCAATTATAATCAATCTACTAGAGTAGTCAACTTTTTATAATATATTTTAATTATTATTTAATTAATCATGGTATATACTCCTTGAACAATGTCTCTATTAACTAAATTGGATCTTTGAACTCTCCAAATCTATCTAGTTTTAAATACTGTTAATTAAATTATCTCACATCCTTTGCATACTTCATAGCCATTAAATAGTTTTGTAAATAAAGTAATTCCTATGAATATTCAATTATATCTCATACTTAATCAGATTTATTATCATAGAAATTCAGGATCGGAATACCATTTAATTGCTACAAACAAAATGAATATGCAGCATTATCTACTAGTACCAGATCCGATAACTGTCTATTTCCAATGACTCTAACCAAAAACAATCACTGAATACCTTAGATCCTTAACATAGGCTCCTTCTTCAGTCTATACACAACTCTCTCTGAAGAATCGATGCGATATCCATTGTTTTGTTGGATCCAAGTAATCAATCACAACATTTGCATAACAAGAATGTGAAGCCGTGAATACAATCAATTCAAAATGTCTACTCAAAGTCTATAATACTTATTGAGCATAAGGTCTAATGTTAATGGATGCCTAATTCAAACCAATATCATACTTCAATTACATCCCCTGTGGGAAATCTTATAGGTAAAATGACATCTCCTGGCACTTTTACTGACTCATTGCAATGAATTAAAGTTTCATCTAAATCAAAAACTATTGTTTTTTTTAATGAAATCGAAGGTAGGTTTACTCTCTTCTCTTCATACTACTACGAATTCATCATCTTAGAATACTAAGCAGCTGATATTGATTAAACTAGATGTTCCCTCACCTATTATATTGGTTTTGTGATTTCTGGTGTCATATAACATCTAATCACAGATGAAATATAATATAGAAATTGAGTTTCAGACCTTGTTGATCTTTCTCTGTGATTGTTTGAAAATGCTATCCTCTAACTCACTCCTTTAGCTGATTCAGGATGAATTTAGATTATTTTTTAGATGTTGGTTTCAGCGCTTGTTTTCTATTAAGTTACAAAGGTCGAAAGGGATGGCTTCTTATTGAGATTATCATTTGATATTGCTCTTGGATCTTTTACTATAGTGCTTGATTTTGGTTTATTTTGTATTTAGTTTAAATCAAGATCATTTTTACTGATTTTTGGTTTATTAATATTCTGCTATTATTGTTATTATTGCTCAGTAATTTTAGTATTAAAAAATCTGGATGCCAAACCTTGCTTAGTTTGTCTTTAACTGCTATCTATATGAGATTTGATATTAATAATCTTCTATTCTAAATATGACAACTTGTCTTATAATTTTGTATACTCAAAGATCTCTTTCGTGTTTGGTTTCTGATTAATTGTATTTTATTGATTGGATCTGATTTCCATGTTCTCCTTCTGATCCTTATACTAAAAATGTTATTTGCTCAATTGAGTTGAACTCTTCATCTGTGTTAATTATTTTATTTAGTTAACCGAACTAGGCCTTGATTGTTCTGGGATATACCTTCCCAAATTCTTTTCAGATAATGGTCTTCTCATTTCATACATGTGAACGGTAAAATTTTAATTTTTAAATTAATTAGTGTTATTCATTTTTTTAATTGCTCATATTAATCAATATAATTATTTTCATATTACATTATTTACTTTTAAAAAGGAGATTTATAATAATTTAGAATAGACAGAACTTAAATAATCATTATTGTTCATTTTTTAGATATTTTTATTAAAGTTCATGCATCTTATCCCTTGCTTTTTGTTGTCCAAAAAATTTATCGACAAATACAATATCAAATTTTTTGTCGTCTCCTTCTCTTTTTAATAGAAAAATCCTTAATTTAAACCACAATCCCTAAGTTATTTAAAAGCCAAAAACACCATCCTTTGTTTTTTCAATGCTTCGATGACACAATCTTGTGAATACATATGTACTCTCATTCATACGTTTTAAGAGTTCTTCTTCAATAGATATTTCCATAATATTAATATTAAACTATTTTCTGAGATTTATTTCAATACCTATTTTTTTGTGATAGAATTAGAGATAATTTAAAATACTATTCGCAACTCTTAGGAACTAACAATATAGAACCCACACAATATATAGTTTAATAAGATCACATATATTTTATAATAAATGATACTAATCAAGTGCTATTTAGTGCCACCTTTATCTCCTATATTTTTGCTTGGGCTTCTTCAAGCTTATTAAATGTGTGTTCATCTGGATCTGGAATGCACACTTTGAGAGGGATAACAAAACAATAATATACCCTCAGTTTAAACCATAAACCTTCAGTGATCATGAAACCACAAAAGCCAAAATTGGTTTTTAATATACTAGAATGAACTAAACTAGTTAAATAAGGTTTGTCATTATCCATTTTTATTTATAGCTAACTCTTAGCAGACATTGACTTCTAATTTGTATATATTTTATTTTTATTTTCATATCACTATTGCTTTGATCAATAATCTTTTTTTGATAGAATTATCATTTTTTCATATTTATAATTCTAATTTGCTTTTCAGCTATCTATCAGTATCTTAAATAAGCAAAGTTAGTTGTTTATTGTGAATAAAATCTATTTTTTACCCTTGAGTTCAAGAATTGAAAACTATTTTAATTGCAAATATTTTTGCTTATAAATTACGTGCATATATTTATCTCCTTGTGAGTATTTACATTTTTGCCCAGAGATTCGATAGAAAAATTTGGTATTTGATAGATATATAAAATGTCACCATATTTATAAGTGCTTTACTTGAACTTTGTTAAATTTGAATCCTTATTTATTAATCTAGAAATAAGTGCCAATTTTAATCAGCTATTTTAGGGTTGCTTTTCAAGATCATTTTGTATGGATGCATTCTGTAAGGAGCAGTAATTAATAACAAAAATCTTCGAAATTGGAGTTTCTCATTTTTTATGGATGTTTAGAATAAATTATTTGTATAAAATATTGTTTGAGATAAATAATATACTTTTATATTGAACTATCTTCTATTAAAGTTTCAGTATTCTTTTTTGATTAATACCTTCTTAATAATTGTACTAAAATATTTAATACATGTTTAATTCACCTGAGTCGTAATCAGATCAGATAAATTCATATTTCAAATATATTCAATAATTTATCTATATTTCAAAAATTGTGCTGATATGTTTGGATTATTATGAATATCATATATCTTATTTTGATTATTTATGATGTAAACCTGAGTTTAGAATATTAGTGATAATTATAGATGATTATAATAATGATGCAAATGATTAAATTTTTCATTCTTCGTGGGCATGACTGGGTTATGTTCCCTTAATCATCCAACAGACATAAGCTGGGTATCCTAATTAAAGAGCTCTTAGCGATCTGAAAAACCACATGTTTTGATTTAATTCTAAATAAAAAATATTAATAATTAATCATTAATCTCCAGAAGAGAACTTGAATCTTTGTTTGTTAGATTTGACTTTCCCTTAATTCTCAGTTATGAAATTAGGAATAGTAATCAACTACTATGATTTTGTGATATTATTTATAGGAACTTCAATTTCCTACGCATATTATTTGTTCAATTCTTGAGTCAAAGACTTTGAGTCTAAGGATAGTTTATCTAATAAGCCGCAAAAGCTATTTGATCTTGAGATCTTCTAGGATTGGCATTCTTCACTTTTCACTGATTATTCACCCTAATAGTAACTATAACACATTTAATATTGTTGTTATGCCAAATAGTACTAATATTAGTATATCAAATATTATTGTTATTATAAGTAATTGATATTACCATCTAGACAGATTACTTTTTATGGTTTTTCTTCCTGCATGTATCCATTAGTAGTAGAACTACTTTGTGAGAGAATTAACTTTTATATTATGTTGTTTATTAGAACACCTATTTCTTGCTATTATTAATATCCCTTCGTTTCCTTATTTATTAGACTCTTAAATCTATTTTTTACTTAATTCTCAGTTCTATTCTTCATTTTATAAGAGATCTTGGACCATTTCAGACCTTCAGATTGTGCTAGCTTCATCAAACAGAGATCCTCCTCTGGTTTCCAATTGCTCCTAAAAATAAACTCTCTTTTGAATTTACCTATTTATTTGAGGATCTAAATAATTGTTCCATCTCTCTCTACATTATTTGGCTTTCTTAAAATATCTCCCATTTGATTTCATGAATATCTAAAATTGTATTTCGTGCCATTTCAATATTTTGCTATTCTCTACTTCTTCCTTCAACATTTGCTCTTCTTCTTAAGTCCATTGCAATCTATCTTCTCTTGCAATCACATGACATAGCCATTTATATTAACAATTTAAACCATTTTTGAATTTTATCAACTTCTCAACCATCTCCCAATCATTCTAAATATCAATATTCCATTACCATTTTTAAAAGATTCATTTTATTCATCGTGCAATATGATATCACAATCCAAATCAATATTTTCCATTCTTGGTCTGTCCATTAGGTTTGTGAGTGCATTTAAAGGAAATTCCTACATTATGTATGATCCTTACTTTTGATCCTCAAATGCATAAAAGTTTTGAACCTCAACGAATGTTATTACATTCTGAGTCAATCTAAAATCGACTAGTTTAGAATACTGGGCCAAATTGATATTCCATTCCTCCTAACCAAGACTCTTGAAGTAATCCAGAAGTATACTTCCATTAGATTTTACACATTAAGATTACATTTAATATTTATCACAATAAAATATGACCCATGAATCTAAATTCAAAGATTTTTTTCACTAAATCAGTTTAATAATTTCCATTTATACTTATATATACGGTACAATTATTTATAAATCATAAATTATGATGTTCCCCAATTCAATACTGATGTCATCAATTTGAATTATGTCAACCTCATCTTAATATTTAATTTAACATTTTATAATAACACAAATAAACTATGATTTTTTTTTAATCAATCAAATTATGTAAATTACAATGTTTATTCATCGTTTGTTAACTTCATACAAAATTTATTGACTAATAATAAAACGAAATTTTATTATAATTTAATAGCATCAGTGTTTTCCAATTTTACAATTGCTTTTATTTCTCCACCAAGCTGCGTCAATTAATAGAAATCGCACCTCACTTTTTCAGTTTAATATGTTGAAGTATATATTATAATTAGTATTACAACATTTTATAATAATTAATAAATATTATAATATAATTATTGTTATTTGTATTTTCGTTTGCTTAAGCAAAATGTTAATCACTATGAAATTATATCTATAAAACTATTCTATTTATTAGTATGATGTTTTCAGTAAATTGTTCTTAATACTTCAATTTTTCTTTCTGATGGTAAAAATCTTGGTTGTTCTCATAATTTCATAATTGGTCAATTTCAAGAAGACAGTAAAAAGAACACTTTATATTCTTGATCCTTTTTGTTCCTCAAATGATTTTAATACAATTTATTTTAAATAAAATTAATCAGGAATTACATCTATCTCTATTATAGGGTTCAATTAAGTAAAGATTCAAGGTAATAATTCATTTTGTGAAAATTGCCAAACTGTCTTATTTCTCTGTTCTGCAAATTTAGCTCAAAATTAGACATAGTGTTTTTCAAATCTTTATAAAGTTAAGTTCATTTAAAAGTATTGGAAAGGTTTAGAAATCCCAGAGGATAAGAATTTAGTATTTTAAACATTTTTCTTAGCAGTTTCTTAAGGTGTATCATTTTCATATTAATTTAATTGATTATTTACAATAAATCATTTTGTTGAAAAAAACCAGGTATTTCACTTTATCCAAAGTATTTGGAACTTCTTCCCTCTTGTTCTCATAATAGTGAAGTTATATTTCTAAAAATAAATTATGATAACATTAACATTTTTATCATTATTATTATTTATTCCTACCTATATTAGAAAAAAAAATTAATGGTGATAATTTATCATAATTAACAATTAAATCCTTTCTATTTATTCAAGTACATTTCGTCCTATATATTTTAAAGAATGTGCTCCTATTTCCCCATAATAAAGCTATTGCTTTAACATCCTAAGCCATATCTAAATATGTTTTAATAATAAAATGATATGTTAGTTAAAATTACTTAATGAAGTATAAAATTAGATGTCAATTTAAAATAGATCGAACAGACAATCTAAGATGTAAATATTCTTTTGAAGATAATGATATTTTTAATTAAAATACTAATTGATAATTGATTGAAATTGAAATGATTATAATTATTAGAAAATAAGTTATCTCCAGAAGTAACTTATTGATTCAATTAAATCATTGAATTTTATTGAAATACATAAAATTTTATACTATCATAATTCAACCTCTGAATAAATAGACCCAACATTCTAGGTCTTTTGTATAAATTTAAGGAAGAAATATATAAGCAGTATCATAATTATGGTAAATAGCATAAAAGCTGATGGACCAAAGTCATAATGAAATTCTGGAGGCAGATAAAATATAATGTTGTAGATACCATTTGAAAATTCATTTTAGCAAAATATATCTATGTTCATAAAATTATATCTTGTATTAGCAATACATGTTACATTCCAAGTACCTATTGGATAATTTTATATATATTGGTTAAGAAAGTATATGGCTGTTCCATTTTGATAGTATGAATTGAAAATCATTGCATAATTAGATTCTGTAGTGTGAAATGAGCCTTACATTAAAATAGGTTCCATTAAATTTCCATTCAAGTGATTATTCAAATAGTAGACTCCGATTATGTATATCTTATAATAGATAAATTGTTGTGTCAAAACCCCATTCTAATAAAAAGAATTGCAATTATTAATTAAATCACCAAATACTGGAATAGTTCTAATTCCTGATCCTTAGCAATTTTAAGCATGTGAACAATCCAATTGTTCTAATCTTCCTTCTGAAATATAACTAAAATAATTATACTTAAAATTAGTCTGAGATGTTTATGATCAAGTTACTAATTGCAATTATAATTTTCTTCATCTCCAATGCTATTTATTTACAATATTAAATTCTGTTATATGCATGAAAATGATTTATTATTAACAAGGCAAAATAAAACTATTTTATGCAAGCTCATTTTATTCTATTAGATTATTGATCTATAAGCATCCTAATAGTAATTTCAACTTATTTGATTAATTATACCTTAGATATTGTTTGCTGATAATTAAAATTCTAAAATATTTACATTTTCTATTTCACTAGTTGCTTTCTATGAATTCAAAAAATTTAATCATATACTTATTTTTGATATTTTTATGGTCTACTAAGTAAATAAAGAAAATAAAATTGAAAAATAGTGTCATTTAAAATGTAATATTAAAATAATTAATGTAAAATACATTTTCAAAGGGCTAAAACTAAGCATTTGATAAAAGTTCACTTAAATTAAAATTTCAACACATTTTATGCAAAAATAATAAGGGGTGACGAGAGGAAAAGATGGAGGAAACAAATAGAGAAAAAGATAGAAGAATTAAAGGAGTGTATTAATTATGAAAAGATGCTATGATATAATATATATGTATTCTCTTCTCCCAAAAAGGGTAGAATAATAATACATACAACATACATACATACATAAATAAATAATCATTTACTCACTTTATCGCTTTCTTTTTTTAAATTTCCTGCCTCTTTTTGAATATCTTTAATTATTTCTTCATATCTTTTCTTCCTCTATAGCTGATAATTACTTTTATTTAACTGAGAACCTTTCCTATTAATTCGCTTTTATGCTTTTATTTATGGTGGGTAAAAAAGTCATCTTCTCTTTATGACTATTGCACATTTTTATTTGTAATAAGAATAGCTTTCTGATATTTTCTGGTATATTTTTAATTCTCTTTAATCTTTTCCTTTATTGTTAGTTTATTTAATATAATTGGCTTTTTTATGTGATCCTTATTATACCTTAAGCAATAAGATGATCAACCTTATCATATAGGAATTTTGGAGATATCTTGCAATTTACCTGTTAATCCTTCTAGGAATGTATCGCTAGGGATTTTTGATAATAATAGTCATTCCTTAAAGCTGCTTTTCCTGAGCTATTTCAGCTTATTCTGATCTTTCTACTTCTAAATTTACTTGATGCTTAAGATATATGAAAAATAGGGTTTCATGTAATTAACCCATAATAAGAATCAGTTGCCAAATTTGAGAATTTTCAGTATTCCGAGAAACTATATCTTTTTATAGTTCATCCTTTTCTCGATTTTGCTAGATGCTCCCCTATTCTTCCTTATTTTCAATTTCAACACCAAGATATCTGTTAGTTCTCACAAATGAAAATTCAATAATCACCTTCTCCTTAAAGTTTTTATTTCATTAGTATAGTTTTATAATAGTAATTCCAATCCTTTTATTACTTCTGTTGCAAATTGCTCACTGCATATGATTGCTAAGTCATCAGCATAAAAATAATAATTATCTAATTTTTCATCAGTATTTATTTCTTTATTTCTGCAATGAATAAATCTGTATAGATGGCAAATAAATAAAGAGATAGAATACTTTCTTGTGGTACTCCATTTTTAAAAGAATTTTTTAACTCAATTATTGTCAAAGTTTAGTTACTAATTAATCCTTTGAGAATTTAGTTTCTTAATTGCAAAGTATAGCTCTCTCTTATATATACCGATATAATAGATTTAAATTAGCGGTATTGTATGTCGATTTAAAATCAATAATATTATCATAGGCTCCTAATCTTGAATTATCTTTTAATTATTTCAAAATCTGAAATTAAGTTCCAAATCCTTTGATAAAGCCAGCTTATTGTTTTATTATTCTGCTTTTACAGTGCCTCCTTAAAGATGAGTCAAATCACAGTTCTATCCACTTATATAAAGGACTTAATATTGTAAATGATCGAAATTTGCTAGCCTTTGGAATGTTTGGATAGTTTAATTTAATAAGATTATAAAGAACTCTCCGATGTTTTTAACTAATTCTTATGTTTTACTCCTTGTTCAATATGAAATTGTATTGCTTTTTACTCTTGAGGTTCTTTTCCAATTTAATTAAGAAATGATTAATGTATGATATAACGGCTCTTAATTGATTAGAAAAATGTCTTTTTTTGATTATCTAAGATCGTTCTTGACATATCTTTAGTATGTAATTTAATTATTTGGGATTAAATCTGACATACTTTTGAGCTTAACTGTAGTATTATTAGCATCTCCAACAATCATAATAAGTGCATTTGGTTTCTTGATTTTAAGTTGAATTACGAAGCTTTGCAATTTTTTTATTAGTACTAAAAGATTTAGAGTAGGCAGAGTGAATATTTAGAATAAATAGTTCTATATTATTTTTTGTGCAATAAACTAACAAATATTTAAATTTATCTAATTTTAATATATGAAAATATCTCACCATATGAATTATTTATGAATACTTATACTACTCCACCGCTTTAAAAGTGTTCGCTACATACTTTATTAATGAAATTGTAGCTAGGAGATGAGTTTTTTATCTATGCATTCTCTTGAAGACAAATTATGTGGATCATTTTTTTTAATTGTTGTAAAGTGGTTAATTTTAGAGAAGAAATTTTCCAATACACAACTGTTGTTTAATTCCCAGATTGTATTACAGTTTATCCAAAAACACTACAACTTTAAAAGGAAATTCTATTTTTCAGCATAATATAAATAATTATTGTTTACAATGAATTAAGTAAAAATGAAAAACACAGAGATGCTAATTTCATTCAACAACTAATAATGAAAAATTAAATAACATTTATTTTAGAAAAGATTTTTGAGAAATTTAAATTAAATAATTTGACACTATAAAAGCATAATTTGGTTTATTAGAAGTAGTCTTAGAACAGTTTGGTTAGGTATTAATATAATTTTATAACCTAGGACATAAAATAGAAAAATTTTCATATTTAAATAGAATATACTTAAAAGAATTAATTAAATAAATTGTTTAAATTATACTAATTTTAGTAAATGTTATATGAGTCTTTTCAAATAATATAAGACTATAATCTAGTCTAAGAATTTAAGATCAATCTTAATGTTAACCAAATAAATAAAATCAATTTAATGAAATATGTAAACATTTATACTATCATAGTTCAACTTCTGAATAAATAAACCCAACCCTCTTTGTCTTTTTGTAAAATTTAAAGTAGAAATATATAAGCAGTATAATAATTATTGAAAATAGCAAATAAACCGATGGACCAAAGTTAAAATGAAATTCAGGAGGCAGATAAAATTTAATGTTGTATGTACCATTTTAAAATTCATTTAAGCAAAATATAGAAATATCCATATAGACTTAGTAGTTGTATTAGCAATACATGTTATATTCCAAGTACCTATTGGGTAATTATAGATAATTTAGTCATAAATGTATATGGCTGTTCCATTTTGATATTATTAATTGACAATCGTTGCATAATTAGATATTGAAGCGTTAAATGAACCTTACATCAAAATTGGTTCCATTTAATTTTAATTTAAGACATTGTTCAAATAATAGACTCCAATTTTGTATGTCTTATCGTATTTAAATTGCTGCGTTAAAACACTATTTTAATAAAAAATATTTCCATTATTACTTAAATCACCATAATTTGGAATGGTTCTTATGCCTATGCCTTTGTTTAATTTTTGTTTATGAAATTAAAACAATTGTAATTTTACTTCTACAATGTAACTAAAATAAATATCACTTAGAAGTATTAAAATAATATTAGGTTATGTTTGCATAATTAGAACAAAAGAATATTATATTGAAAGTTGAAAACAAGCTTACAGAGAATCACAAAATGAAATTTCAATAATATTTATATCTCCTATTTTACTGACTGAACCATCAATGAACATCATTCTATTATATACTGCAAAACTCTAAATATATAAAACAATTATTTATTGTGATTAATCACCTTGAATCATGCTTTATATTTACGCAATAGAGAAATCTTGACTTGGCCCATAATAGTTTAAGTCTATCTCTTATAAAATGTTTTGAGATTAGTTAAACCAATACAATTATTATGAATTTTCAAAAGAACCTAAAATAAAAATTTGGTTTAAAATGGTGTCTATTTTGGATATATTGTCAAACATTTTTGGTAATAATATTCTTTCATTTAATGTTATATTACCTTCACAATTTAAAGTAAAATTAAGCAAATATTAAGAAGTTCTGTTTCCACAAATTGAATATAATGTGTAATCATTTGATGCTGACTTTAGACAATCAGTAAAATTTAAATTTGAATAACTTAAATTTGATATTTATGTTAAGTCACTATTAACAGTTTATATATAAGAGTTATTCTGCAAAGCAAAACATTCGTTATTTATTGAAGTTATTAAAGAGAAATTACTATAATTAGGGATGCTGGTAGAGTTATATTAATTTAATTGAGTAACACTACAATATTTGTTTAAATTATTGGTTTAAGTTAATTTTTTTGATTCACATAATCCAACCTATCTATCAAGAATTAAATTCATTGGATATGAGAAATTTTTAGAACCAGGAATTATATTTTCTTTTGT